CCAGAAGCAAACACTCAACAAAATGAAAGATCAGCTCGTAACAAAAGAATGCAACGAATATCAAATACTTTGAAATATTATCTGTCAGACACCATCCTTGGGAAGCGTTCAAAATTTCTAGAGAATGTTCAGAGAGGCAGCTTAAAAGACCAATTGAAGTCAGAGCTGTATTTCTCAGTAATTGACAGGTGCACAGCTGAATATGATAGGAGGTTTAGCAATAATATTGATCTTCTGCAGTCCATCTCCTCTTTTGATGTTCAATCTATACAATTTCTTGATGAAGACAAGCTTGCTTTGATTTCTAAACATTACAGTGCACAAATTGATTCAGTTATGTTATCTTCACAACTGCATTCTACGAAGGTATTCTTAAATCAGAACCCTGAGGAACCTATTTGATATGTACCAGAATCTAAATGCTTTACCGATTGCTTTTGCTGAAGTAATCAATTTGTTACAAATACTACTGGCCATTCCGGTTACTACTGCAGGCAATGAAAGATTTTTTTCAGTGCTAAAATGAGTCAAAGATTACCTGAGAACAACAACGGGTGATGACCGCCTTTCCAGCCTACTTTTAATGGCTAATGAACAGAAAATGGTTAAATCATTCGATACGGAAGAACTGATTGATAGTTTTGCTCGACTGAAGGATCACCGTTACCCTCTGATGTAATAACAGTTAATAGCCACTAGCTGTAGACTGAGTATGTCAAAGATGTATCCTATTCTGATTTGTTCACAGATGATTTTTTCACTACAGTATAGTTTGCATTTACACGGTCAATTGAACCCGTGGAGGTTTGCGTAAAACGAGAAACGCGTAAACGAAGTAACAGAACATAAGGGATTACTGTAATTGAAATAGAAACTGGGCCGACTCCCAAACTCCACTTTTTCCGACACAATACGTACGTTGTAGTAAAAATAACATCTTAATTTATGATGGTATGCACACAATAAATATTTAAGAGAAATATCAATAATACAGTGACCCCTCCGTTAACGAACTCAATCCGTTCCAGAAGGTCGTTCGTTAACCGAAAAGTTCGTTAACCGAAACCATTGTTTCAATGGGTTTTTGGGTAATTGGTTCCAGCTCACCGAAAATTTCCTAAATTCAACAAAAATGGTAGAAAAGTTCACTTACTTTGAGGTGTGTATGTAGAAGGCTCCTGGATGATGATGATGATGATGATGGGAATTAGAATGGGGGTGGAGGAGAAGGAAGAAGAGAAGGCATTGGGGTGGAAGAGAAGTCACCCCATGGTGCCATTTCACCCATAAAATTTTAGCTCTCTTAGTGTAATTCAAGATTATTTTCTTTAAATCAACACTGCACTGCATTATATATTGTCAATATGTAAAATATATTTCAAAATGACCAATAATTTGCTTGGAAACACAGAAAAAAAGCATTTAGTTGAAGAGAGTCTCAAGCAAGATGTTACCTCCAGTGAAAACAGAGAGAGACTAACTCCTGTTTGCTGTGTTAAGAGGCTGGATGCCGCGCATTAAACTAGTCACTTTACCTTCAATTATGTTCAATAATTGTTAAAATGACTAAAAAATTGAATATTAAACTTTTAAAATTATTGAATAGTATAAACTTCTTGATATTTACTAAAATAGTAAGGAATTTAAGCCCTAGAACCGATATTTTACTAAAAGTCATGTTGAGATCGGTTCGTAAGAACTTCGTTAACCGAATTTTTTTTCGTTAACCGAATTGAAGATCCTTATGGAAGGCAGTTCGTTAATCGAAATTACGTTAACCGAGGTGTTCGTTAAACGAGAGGTCACTGTATTCGTTTTTTTAACACTTACGTTTGTAGAAAAGATGGCTGGGCACAAGGGGATGGGGGGTTGGTTCCAAGGCAGAGGGCAGATTATTGGCCCTCACCTGTATCATTTGTATCAATTGTATCACTATCCACCACAGAGGCTTGCAGGGCCTCTTTGTCAAACCCCTCAAAGTCCATATCCTCGCTATCACTATCACTGACTTGGGCCGGCTGTGGTGGGTGGCAGGTGAAGAACTCGGTAATGTTTTGATGACTGGGTGACCTTGTGCGCACCCTGCCCGCGCCGCTTCCCGCATAAATGATGAAATTTACCGTGTAATTAAAAATTTCATTCTGGCAAGGCACCGCGTAAATGACCAAACACGTAAACAAAAACCGCGTAAATCCAGACTATACTGTATTTAAATTTGTCAATATATTAGCTGATACAATTATTTGGTCAATAATTCCAGAGTTATACTCTAGATGTTGGTAAAGAAAAGTTTGCTTTGCTGGTATCATTATTGTTTTCTTAATAAATTTCAAAAACAATATTGAATTTATTTATCACAGCCATATTATTATACTCTATTTAATGACAATTTAGTAATTAATTATGCAGTCACCATGTCAAAGGTTTGCAAGGTCAATGCCAAATACTATGGAGCAGGATTTTAACCCCTACTCTCTGCATGTAATGGTGTGCCCCCCCCCAAGCAAAATCTGAAATGATGCCCCTGTTCAGGTGTGTTAGAGATACACACACACACACACACACACACACACACACACACACATATATATATATATATATACACATATATATATATATATATATATATATATATATATATATATATATATATATATATATATATATATATATATATATATATATATATATATATATATATATATATATATATATATATATATATATATATATATATATATATATATATATATATATATATATATATATATATATATACAGGTACTCCTCGACTGACGACCTACTCGACTTACGACCACCCGGACATACGACCGCCACAGTCGTATAAAATATTTTTCAAATTATGTACGTACAGTATTTTTGAGTCCCGACGTTAGTGATCGCGCTGTGTACTGACAAAATTTTCGTTTGCAATTCCCTTTAAAATGGCTGGCAAGCGTAAAGGTGAGGGTTCTCGTAGTGCTGAGAAGAAAAAGAGACACTCATTTTAGATTTTCTACATATTATCTTCGCATTTTCGACTTACGATCCGGTCGTCTGTCCCTAACCCCGTCGTAAGTCGAGGACTGACTGTAGTGTGGTACAGGTATACCAGGTATACGTAAAAAAAAAAAATCCATAAACTCAGTTTCCAATAAGAGCATTGTCTCAACCTTGAACCACACACAGAGACATGATTCCTGAAGCTTCAAACAGCTGGCACTTGCATATAAAAATGTTATGCAGAGGAACAGTACAGTAGATCATGTGATCACTGGGAAGATAAAAGCCAATTAAAATATCATAAAACCCATAATGCAGCAGTTGTTAATTTATATTGAAACTAGATGATGATGATTTTGAAACCCCAACACTATTAATTGGGTTAAATATTGTGTATGATTCCAACAAAACTTACTCTCAAAATATTACCAAGGATGATAAATTTCTGCAATTATGTAATGGTCAAAGGAATATTAACAATCCTTTTAAATACTGAATCCCAGAAGACCACCTGTGAGATGTGACTCACAGACTGATAATTTTCTTTGATTATACAAACCTTGAGGGTTGTGCTGCCATATTAATACAGTGGTCCCTCGTTTAACGAATACAATTCGTTCCACAGTCGTTATTTAACCAAAAATTTCGTTAACTGAATCTATTATTTCAATGGGATATTGGGTAATTGGTTCCAACTCACAGAAAAAGTTTACATACAATGTACTGTATACCAGTAATAGAATTAACAAAACATTAAATATAAACTAAATACTGTACAGTACTGTACTGTACAGTATACAGTGCAACCTCGAAAATTCAAATTGCATGGGCCCATGAAGTATAAGAATTTTAGATGTATGGAAATGCCAGAGCAAATTGTTGTATCAAAACATGCTACAAAAATTATTTACATATCTAAAAACTGTCAATAAGCAATAGGTATAATAAATTCAAAGTATTACTGTATTTATATTCAACAACATTTATTCTAATATATTTAGAACATTATAGCTACAGTGGTCTCCATGTAATCCTGCCAGTCTCCAAATACTGTACTGTACAACACTCCGTCTCCACCACCTTCACTGTACTGGATACAATGTGTGACCTAGCATGTCTGGGAACCTGGATGCAGTTGTTGTGCTCAGCATTATGATCGCATTAGAAAGCTTGAATTATTATGGCGATATTTTCAAGTTCTAAACCTAAAATTTTGGCACTTATTTTTAATCAGATGCTATTTGAATTTAAGATGTATCCGAATTTTTGAGGTTCGAATTTGAGAGGTTTCACTGTACTGTACAATAATAAATAAAAAACAATAGAATACTATATTTTAACTTACTGTACTTTGAGGTGTATGTCGTATTACCAGCAGATTTGTTTACATATCAAACAGCTGATTGTAGTGGCAGTCAATGATGACATGCCATATTCTTTACAGAGTGCATTGGTTCTAATACCTTCTTCGTGTTTCATAATAATTTCTGCACTGTATATTATCAATATGTTAACTAAATTTCAGAATGACCAATAATTTTAATGTAAAAATGCAAAAATATTCAAGAGACCAACAAAATCGATGTTCACTCCACTGTAAACAAAGTTAAACTGAGAAGCGTCGTTGGGTGATTCAATCAGCTAATGGGCGCACAAAAGCTGTCCCCTGTACTGTCTATATTATCAATATGTGAACTAAATTTCACAATGACCAATAATTTTAATATAATAAATGCAGAAATATTCAAGAGGCCAACTTTCTTGATACTTACTCCACTGGAAACGAATGTAAACATAGAACCAATTACTGCATTGGCGGACTAGCCGATCAGCTTATGCGCACAACAAAACATGTTTGTCGTAAGGATTTCGTTAATCGAAGTTTTGTTCGTTAATCGAACTGAAAATCCTTATGGAAGCTAATTCGTTAACCAAAATTTCATTAATCGAACCTTTTCGCTAACCGGGGGACAACTATATAAATAAGAACAACCATATACAGTATTGAGGATATTGTCATCATATAAAACTTCTTTGGGTTATGTTCTTGTCAGCTGTAAATAAACAGGTTCAGGTTTCAGTAACAAGTATTCCCAAATCTCGAAACATTTCTTGGTATACCGGGTAATTTGACTTAAATGAAGACTTAGATTAATGCTGGTCTTGTTAATACAAAGAATTGTTCACTTTATATTCATAAATAAATATTACACAAATTAACACTTCAAAAGAACTGGACCTTTAATATTTACAACTTCTTCAATCATATAATTATTAAAATGAATGGTTTATTCATTAATAACACAAACAATCAATATCTGGAAATAATTGTACAGTACCATTCATTTCTATGTGAATCTGGTCATCAAGTGACAGAAAACTAAAAGAATGACATACAAAAAGGAATAAGAACTTGACTTATTTTCCTAAAGCAACTTACACTGTGTTAGTGAACAACTAGACAAGTATCAGCTACTGATTGTATCCAAATGTTGATAATGATGTTGCTGGTGGAGGAGGTGGTGGTGGAGGAGCACTAAACAAACTCTGTCCACTCCCCTGCAAACAAAGTAAAAAAAACTCTTAAGTGGAATATTGGATTACATTTTTATTTTCATGCAGCATTGAGAGGGGTGGCTGGCCTTCTAGAGCATGAGAGGGGTGGCTGGCCTTCTAGAGCATGAGAGGGGTGGCTGGACTTCTAGTACATGAGAGGGGTGGCTGGACTTCTGGAGCATGAGAGGGGTGGCTGGCTTTCTAGAGCATGAGAGGGGTGGCTGGCCTTCAAGAGCATGAGAGGGTTGGCTGGCCTTCAAGAGCATGAGAGGGGTGGCTGGCTTTCTAGAGCATGAGAGGGGTGGCTGGACTTCTAGTACATGAGAGGAGTGGCTGGACTTCTAGTACATGAGAGGGGTGGCTGGCCTTCTGGAGCATGAGAGGGGTGGCTGGCTTTCTAGAGCATGAGAGGGGTGGCTGGCCTTCAAGAGCATGAGAGGGGTGGCTGGCCTTCTAGAGCATGAGAGAGGACACACACACACACACACACATATATACACACACACTCTCAGGATCAACAGAAGTCAATAAATACAGACAATAACCAAGACTTTACCATAAGGCATCTCAGCAACTTACTGGAGGGTAGTTAAAGAAACCTGCAGCAGGGTTGAAAGTGTGCATAGCTGGGTTGAAATTGGGTGGTGCTGCACTGTAACCTGCTGCTGCTGGGTTGTAACCATGTGGTGCAGAGTTGTAACCTGTTGAGCTGTAACTGGCTGCTGAGCTGTATCCCTGTGCTGCTGGGTTGTAATTTGGGGGTGCAGTGGAGTAGTCTGGGGGGGAAGAGGTGTAACTTGGTGTTGCAGAGGCAGGACTTAACGTGGCAGAGCCGTAGTTCTTTGTTGGGGACGTATAATCCGGCGCAGCGGAGATGTCACTCTTCGACGTAGGGTTATAACTGTGCGCGGCAGAGCCGTAACTCTGCGGCGACTCGCTCTTCTTGGAGTTAGTGTTTGGTAGACTCTCTTGGGCTGAGTCAGACTCACCTTTACTGGAGTCAACTAGTTCACTCTTGTTACTCTTATCCCTCATGTCTGGTTTATTGTGTGGATGACCTCTATTGGAGTTGGCCCTCCCTAGCTGAGCTGCCTTCTCAAGTTCCACCACTATGTTGAACTTTAGCTCAGCCTCCGAGATCAGCTGAGGAGAAGAGTCAACACATTCATATGCTATAAGTTTAGCTCAGCCTCTGAGATCAGCTGAGGAGAAGAGTCAACACATTCATATGCTATAAGTTTAGCTCAGCCTCTGAGATCAGCTGAGGAGAAGAGTCAACACATTCTTATGCTATAAGTTTAGCTCAGCCTCTGAGATCAGCTGAGGAGGAGAGTCAACACATTAATAAGCTATAAGTTTAGCTCAGCCTCTGAGATCAGCTGAGGAGAAGAGTCAACACATTCTTATGCTATAAGTTTAGCTCAGCCTCTGAGATCAGCTGAGGAGAAGAGTCAACACATTAATATTCTATAAGTTTAGCTCAGCCCCTGCTCTGCGTAATAACTCCCGTGTCCATAAAAAATGTCTATTCCCTTTATATTTTTGTCCTTATAATAATTATGATTTTTTTTATGTTTTTGCACATTATGTATCAAAAGATTGTGCGTGAATGTAACAGAGTAAAAAAATGAAGAAAATTATGTATGTGTACCTGAAATTACCAGTTGAAAAATAACAGCTCTGGCATTTTTCTGTCACTGGTTCAGTGAGCACCTCCCAGGCATTCCCTGGTAAAGTTGGGTTAGGTTGGGTATAATGTAACACAACATGTACACTCACATGAACGGTGCTGGGAGTCCTATGTTTTTCATGGAATTCTTTAAGTGACTCCAGAAGCATAGAGATAACATCTGTGGCAACATTTGCATCATCTTGGTGAATCACAGCGCTCTCAGCCTGAGGAAATAGAACACAATAACAATCACAACACTCAGCCCGGGGGAAACAGAACACATTAACAGAGCTTACTGTAGTATCAAACGTTGCCAAATTCCTTGACATGTGACAACAAGGTCTGTGGGGCCACAACTCTACACACCATAAACCAATATTACTATTGACCAAACTACAGTAATGTGATAAACCTATATGGCAGGTGGAGTTAAATTCTCTTACTATAGCTATGTTCAAATGACATTCTCCTTAATACACAAGAAATAAATCCCACTTTAGAGGCTCTGGCATCAACCATCCATTACTGTACTCAGAATTATTAAATTTACATAGAAAAATGTGTGATCACCCACCTCTACACACACACACACATGCACACAACACATATGCTACGCACGCACGCACACACACACACCAACTCCACTAAAATACTGTCTGGACAAAATACAACTCATCTTTGCACACCACAGGGCAGCACCTTCCTCTTTGTCTTTAACTCACCAGGAAGGAACCAGAACAATGATACAATAAAACTAACTCACCAGGAAGGAACCAGAACAATGATACAATAAAACTAACTCACCAGGAAGGAACCAGAACAATGATACAATAAAACTAACTCACCAGGAAGGAACCAGAACAATGATACAATAAAACTAACTCACCAGGAAGGAACCAGAACAATGATACAATAAAACTAACTCACCAGGAAGGAACCAGAACAATGATACAATAAAACTAACTCACCAGGAAGGAACCAGAACAATGAAACAATAAAACTAACTCACCAGGAAGGAACCAGAACAATGAAACAATAAAAACTAACTAAACTAACTCACCAGGAAGGAACCAGAACAATGATACAATAAAACTAACTCACCAGGAAGGAACCAGAACAATGATACAATAAAACTAACTCACCAGGAAGGAACCAGAACAATGATACAATAAAACTAACTCACCAGGAAGGAACCAGAACAATGATACAATAAAACTAACTCACCAGGAAGGAACCAGAACAATGATACAATAAAACTAACTCACCAGGAAGGAACCAGAACAATGAAACAATAAAACTAACTCACCAGGAAGGAACCAGAACAATGATACAATAAAACTAACTCACCAGGAAGGAACCAGAACAATGATACAATAAAACTAACTCACCAGGAAGGAACCAGAACAATGATACAATAAAACTAACTCACCAGGAAGGAACCAGAACAATGAAACAATAAAACTAACTCACCAGGAAGGAACCAGAACAATGATACAATAAAACTAACTCACCAGGAAGGAACCAGAACAATGATACAATAAAACTAACTCACCAGGAAGGAACCAGAACAATGATACAATAAAACTAACTCACCAGGAAGGAACCAGAACAATGATACAATAAAACTAACTCACCAGGAAGGAACCAGAACAATGATACAATAAAACTAACTCACCAGGAAGGAACCAGAACAATGATACAATAAAACTAACTCACCAGGAAGGAACCAGAACAATGATACAATAAAACTAACTCACCAGGAAGGAACCAGAACAATGATACAATAAAACTAACTCACCAGGAAGGAACCAGAACAATGATACAATAAAACTAACTCACCAGGAAGGAACCAGAACAATGATACAATAAAACTAACTCACCAGGAAGGAACCAGAACAATGATACAATAAAACTAACTCACCAGGAAGGAACCAGAACAATGATACAATAAAACTAACTCACCAGGAAGGAACCAGAACAATGATACAATAAAACTAACTCACCAGGAAGGAACCAGAACAATGATACAATAAAACTAACTCACCAGGAAGGAACCAGAACAATGATACAATAAAACTAACTCACCAGGAAGGAACCAGAACAATGAAACAATAAAACTAACTCACCAGGAAGGAACCAGAACAATGAAACAATAAAACTAACTCACCAGGAAGGAACCAGAACAATGAAACAATAAAACTAACTCACCAGGAAGGAACCAGAACAATGATACAATAAAACTAACTCACCAGGAAGGAACCAGAACAATGATACAATAAAACTAACTCACCAGGAAGGAACCAGAACAATGAAACAATAAAACTAACTCACCAGGAAGGAACCAGAACAATGATACAATAAAAACTAACTCACCAGGAAGGAACCAGAACAATGATACAATAAAACTAACTCACCAGGAAGGAACCAGAACAATGATACAATAAAACTAACTCACCAGGAAGGAACAGAACAATGAAACAATAAAACTAACTCACCAGAAGGAACCAGAACAATGATACAATAAAACTAACTCACCAGGAAGGAACCAGAACAATGAAACAATAAAACTAACTCACCAGGAAGGAACCAGAACAATGAAACAATAAAACTAACTCACCAGGAAGGAACCAGAACAATGAAACAATAAAACTAACTCACCAGGAAGGAACCAGAACAATGATACAATAAAACTAACTCACCAGGAAGGAACCAGAACAATGATACAATAAAACTAACTCACCACCAGGAAGGAACCAGAACAATGATACAATAAAACTAACTCACCAGGAAGGAACCAGAACAATGATACAATAAAACTAACTCACCAGGAAGGAACCAGAACAATGATACAATAAAACTAACTCACCAGGAAGGAACCAGAACAATGATACAATAAAACTAACTCACCAGGAAGGAACCAGAACAATGATACAATAAAACTAACTCACCAGGAAGGAACCAGAACAATGATACAATAAAACTAATTCACCAGGAAGGAACCAGAACAATGATACAAAAAAAGCAACAATTACTAACTTACCAGTTTCTTAAGCAGTGGTCCAGCAGTTTCTCCTGAGAGGTGTTCACGGGGTGGTGCAAACATCGGGGGTGGTGCTAACATCGGGGGAGGTGCTAACATCGGAGGTGGTGCTAACATCGGTGGAGGTCTGGAGAAGTTTACCTCACTCCTGGGACATAACACACCTGTCACTTGTATATTACACTATATATAACAAGTAAATAACAATGTCTTATTTATTAGCACAGTAGCTTTTTCAGCTGATAACTTGAGTCTATATGTCTATCAACACAGTGAGTCTATGTATCTGTCTATTAGCATATTGAGTCTATCTATCTATTTACATACTGAATCTAATTATCCATCTACACTCTGAGTCTTACTATCTATCTACATATATTATCTCTATCTATCTATCTGTCTACATACTGAGTCTTACTATCGATCTATATACATACACTAACTCTATCTATCTATCTAGCTACACACTGAGTATCTGTCTACATACAGCTATCTATCTACATGTTGAGAGTAATATAGACAATATAAACAAGGCTGGACCAGGTGAAATAATGTAGAGTGAAATAAACTAAACAATGAAAGTATAATGCTATAATGTACTGTATATTATCCCAAGTCAATAAAACTAAAGTACCTTATTAATGGATCACTTCTGCTATATCCATCTGAAAAAAACAAAAAATAAATTAATCTAATTTTATAAACAATGGAGATAAATGAGGGTTCAAGCCTAACAACACCACTAAGTAACAGAGCCACAGAGGTCACATTCATTACTTGTAGAACAATTCAGGAGGAGAAAACCCCACACTCTCGCCTTATACAACACCTTGTGGACAAGTCTAACATCAGTGCCAATGAGACAAACTGCACACTTATCTCATCCTATATAGTTGAAGAGTAAGAGCACTGATACATCTGTCCTCAAGAAGGTTGCTGACTAGAGTGAGGAGGCTGCTTCTGTGAACCTTTTTCATGATATTACCAAACAAGTTATATCTGTTATGATTTGTCACACTCCCATGCCTCAGGACAAACTACTGTATGACCTCTGAAACTCTCAGCTTGGGTGAACGTATTCACAGTTACTTCCTGGTGTACATAATGTTATAAGAAATACGCACTCATCATCATCATCAACATTTTACAGCCATTTTCCATTTATTTAATTTAAAAAAAATATATATTACTGTAGAATCATGTTTAATAATAAATGAATATTATTCTAAATGTTTCTAATCATGATGGTCATAAGACACATCAAAAGGACTTAATTATTACAGAGGAAATATGAACTGACACACTCCGGTAGCATCTTCTTTACCAAAGTCCAGTGTAGCTCAGTGATACTAAGTTAACATACTCATGCTGGTATCCTTATGAAAGAAAGAAGCTAAAGTTAATCTAACATACAGTATTATCTTTCAAGGAAGTTTTGTTAAAAAGTTTTGGAAACAAAGCAGATCATCTTACTTTGTTCGTACTGGTCTTGTCGACCCTCGGGGTAATGCTCTTGCTGCTCTGGGAAGTTACGACCTTGGTAGTCACGTTCTTTACGTCCTGAGCCAACACGCTCCTGAGGATATTTATTGTTCTCCTCCCTAGGAAAAAAATATTAATACAGTACGTATACATATGAGCAAGCACTCCTTATTTATTGTGAGGGTTCCAATCCTGAAAACTCTTATACAGTCGGTTCTCCTATAACGCCTGTCTTCGTAGCGTGATTTGGTTATACAGCGACGAAGGCATCCGGGAACATATTTTCTTTAACATGAAGCGATTTGGATATAACTCGAGTGAGAAAACGGTACCACAGTAATGTATGTCATTTGAGCAGGAATAAGCGGTTATGCAGTCACCTCAGAGAAGCCTCACAACAACACGGGATGCTGCCCACCCATGCCACACCACCCCACAGTCTTTGTTTACCTTTCATATGTATTAGACGTGTAATTGCGGGCTGTACTTTACCTTAGTGTCAACTTTATTGCTTTTAATTACAATAAGTGGCAAGGGAGTGAAGCGTTCTGCTAATGGTGGTAGTGGAAGTGAAGTGAAAAGAAGAAAAGCTATAAATCTTAAACAAAAGCCAGATGTGATAAAGCAATATGAACAGAACGAAAGAACTCATGACATTATTCAAGCAATGGGACTTACCGAATCCATGTTACGCACTATTTGTGAAAATTTTGAAAAAATAAAGGCAAGTTGTAGTACAGCACTGCAACACAACTAAGTGCAAGTCACAGTGCCAGGGCAAGGCCCAAGATAATACCAGACTGAAAAACTTCTCAGTGTGTGTATAGAGAGCAAACAAAGATGTCATCTGGTACCAACTTTTTAACAATAAAATAAAAGGAATTTTTAACTTAAGAAGACCTGAAAACAAAGTATGAGCCTGAGAATATCCACCAATTTACTGTAAGGAGAGGGTGGTTTGTTGGCTTTAAAAACCATTTCAACTTGCACAATGTGAAGTTGAATGGAGAAGTTGCGGGCACAGATGAACTCACTGCTGCCAGCTTCCCTGGCATCCTCAAAACAGTGGTTTAGGAAAGGGGCTACACTCCTAATCAAATTTTTAACACAGATGAAGCAGGTCTGTACTGTAAGAGGATGCCTTCTAGGTCGTATATCTCTAAGGAAGAGGCAAAAAATCCAGGGTTCAAAGCAGCCAAGGATTGACTCTCTGTCAAGGTGGAAGCTAACGTGAGTGGCGATTACCAGCTAAAACCAGTTGTTGTGTACCACTCGGCTAGCCCTCACGCACTCAAAGGATACATACCCGGTAAGGGCTAACCTGGGGGGAAATTTTGGATCCAGCAAAAAAGGTTGGATGACTGGCCATTTTTTTCTGACTACAGTATGTATTATTAAAATAAGCGCTGTCATTATAAAAGAACACACATAAACTAACATTAATATAACAACTTGTAAAGAAAATTTGTCAGTCATGTTGGTGTTCACAAACCTACCACACTACAATGCCATATTCTTCAAGAACATAAGAGAACTGACTGTCCAATACTATGTGAAAGTGTGATATGGATAACTAATTTTCTCATCAATATTGCTGTAGTTTGGAAAGACTGGAGACAACACTGTACAGCAGTTTGATTGTATGGCACAAAACACAATGTAACTTGAGTACTGTACCTGAAAGAAGCTGGTTGTAAGAGACGACCGGTGGGTGAGTCAACTTCCTGCCCAGGTTTGCCCGTGTCATCCGAGGTACCAACTCCAGAAGTTCCTAAAAAAGAAAAGAAACAAATATGGTCATGACTACACACTGTAATGTATTATTATCTTTACATTCACTGACTATTATTTTTACCTTTCTCTCACCACTGTATCTGTACAGTGGGTCAAGATGTAGAGAAACATCAGTGAAGGGGAGATACAAGAGTGAACATGGTGTCAGGAGATTTTGGGGAAAGGAACGTCTGCTGATGGGTGATAAAGGATTGTGGAAAGCAACAGGGGTGAACCTGATTACCGGTACTTTTGGAGTTTTATTGCGGAAGGGAAGAACCAAAGTAGAATACTATTCTTGTTTTATTGCTGCAAGAATGACTGATTGAAAACAAGTGATGGAAAAATGTGTGAGAATATTTAATAATTTCTGGCAACTTTATACTGTACAATACTGTACTATGTGAAGGGAAGGGAGCATCTAATTTCATGTTGGCTAAATTGTACAGTGACTTTGTTTCAATATACTGAATTGGTAGTGAAAGTAAGATTTTATACTGAAGAGAACACAAAAAAGTTTAAACATAAACAGGCAGTCTCTGAGTTATGAACAGGTTACATTCCTGGTCCCTGTTCATAAGTCGATCAGTTCGTAAGTCAGAACAGTGTTAATTCCAAAGATTAGGTTAGGTTAAACACAACCCTACCCATACAAAACAACAATAATATAAATACCTGTAAAATCTGTCAATAAAATTATGCTAAACATTATAAAGTAATGTAAAAAGTAAAATTTCAATTACAGGATTTTGTGAAGAATATACAGTACAGTATTGGGATCCCATTCTTAAGTTCAGGTGTTTGTAACTCAAGGACTGTCTGTACTGGCATTATTGTATTGTACAGTACTAATATTAAGTAAGAGCATCAGCACTCACTTGTAAAGGTCAATAATCAGATACAGTTAGTCAATCCTCAACAGGTGAACCTATCATACAGTTAACACTCCAGGAGATACAGTTAGTCAATCCTCAACAGGTGAACCTATCATACAGTTAACACTCCAGGAGATACAGTTAGTCAATCCTCAACAGGTGAACCTATCATACAGTTAACACTCCAGCAGATACAGTTAGTCAATCCTCAACAGGTGAACCTATCATACAGTTAACACTCCAGCAGATACAGTTAGTCAATCCTCAACAGGTGAACCTATCATACAGTTAACACTCCAAGAGATACAGTTAGTCAATCCTCAACAGGTGAACCTATCATACAGTTAACACTCCAAGAGATACAGTTAGTCAATCCTCAACAGGTGAACCTATCATACAGTTAACACTCCAAGAGATACAGTTAGTCAATCCTCAACAGGTGAACCTATCATACAGTTAACACTCCAGGAGATACAGTTAGTCAATCCTCAACAGTTTAAACCTTTCATACAGTGAGAAGAAAAATACAATACTCACCCTTCATCTTCTCCCACAGATTCTTTTTCTGCAATGAAACAAAAATAAGTTAAGTATAATTCAAACTGACAAGACAAATTATGGCAACGCTTCACACACCCAGAATACAGAGTGCGACAATTGAGTGGACACCGCACTCACCTGCTGTTCCATGGGTCGGTGGTTCGATCCCCAGGCATTCCTGGTTCACTCAGCTCTAACTGAGTACCTAATTTTACAGTTTGGGGAACTGAATGCAGTCGAGTGCAATGCCGGCCATGCTGCCTCCTTGTATACCAAAGGCTTAGTAAACAGTGTGTTGTATCCAGACTGTCCCTAACGGGCAATCATGACTTTGGGCCCCACTTCCACTTTTTCATCCGACAAAAATTGACTTAAATGTCTGTCTTACACTAATTAAAACAAATTTGTCACAAGTTGACAAATATCACTGACCCTTGAACAAAGTATCTGACAATTCATTTTCCTCTCCCATTTTTGTTGGGTGGATCAACAGGCAGGGAAACCTTCAACAACATGGGGAGTTGTGCAAGTCAAGAAAAGAAACTCAAAAAAATAAAAAATAAACTGCCTAGACAATAAGCAGAAATGCCCACACATACTTGATCTAATCCTCATCTTGGACAGCAAGTTTACAGTGAGTCTTTAATATCTAAGATGATCCAAAATACTTCAAAACCGGTGACTGTGCAGCACACCAAGCAGAGCACAGTAGTGGGGCCCATTCATGCCATCACCATCACACATAATATGACTCCAACAATCATGATCCAATATAATTTTTTTCATTCTATTTTACATAATTCTAACATTGGAAATGCTCAATAATTTTAAACTTTATATATCCTTAATGTTTTAAAAAGTTCACATACTGTATAAATAAACATTACTCTTTTAAGTTTTCACATGTATACTTTTTAATGTCTTACAAGTAAATTTTAAATTTCAATATGTGACAAATGTGTACGAGCCCCCAATGCTGCGTCCACCTGGCCACCACACACTTAAAATTAAAAATGTTAATAACATGGAAATGATTAATTGTCTCCTGTATATATAAACATTAAACACACCACCTTACCCTACCTAATTTTTCTGCAACAGCCAGGCAGACCCTGAGTCACCTTCACCATGTGTAACACTTTCACTGTTACCTTTAAATGTTTCATTCCTCCACAGTGAAGATCCAATGACTTCTTCTCACTCATGTCCGCAAAGCAAAGCTGTAAGTAATGAACAGTAACTGATTAAAAACTTGATGAAAAAAATATTACTGACCAAATTATGCCTACCAGAGTTTATTTTTTCTCTGAAAGAACTTGTATGAAATATGTGGCACAACTACATGAAGTAAGTTATCACTTGATTGTTCTGTAATAGTGTTCAGTCACTCGGACCTTTTATTATACTCAGTAGCTGTCACTTGTTATAACAATAACATTATACTCAACAGCTGTCACTTGTTATAACAATAACATTATACTCAACAGCTGTCACTTGTTATAACAATAACATTATACTCAGCAGCTGTCAATAGTTATAACACTAACATTATACTCAGCAGCTGTCACTTGTTATAGCAATAACATTATACTCAGTAGCTGTCACTTGTTATGACACTAACATTATACTCAGCAGCTGTCACTTTTTATGACACTAACATTATACTCAGTAGCTGCCACTTGTTATAACACTAACATTGCACTCATTAGCTGCCACTTGCTATAACACAACACTATTCTACAAAGTAATCTTGTATCATAACTTGTATTCGTCTCCAAGTGTCTTGTGGCAACTTTCATTCTTTTCACTTTCCATCACATTTATTGCACCAAGAGTAAAACATTGATCTTTGCCTGGACACTGACTGTACTGTACAGTACTGTACTACAACATGATCTGCTTCATGCAACGATGGTCTTACCTCACAATAGTATCCCATCTTTCCTCCCTGGTCTTTGAGGATTTTTACCGTCACGAAAGAACCGTATTCTTCGGCTTGAAAAGAATAAGTTTGTAAGAAATCACGACCACCTACGGTAAACGTGTTGATTCTAGTCATTTTTTTGTGTGTCAATATATTGTACTTGTCAATGTGAACCTCAGCTAAACTCATCAATAAGGATTACCTTCCAAATATACTGTACTGTACATTGGTCCCTCGGTTAACGAGCACAATCCGTTCCAGCAGGTTGTTCGTTAACCGAAACCATTGTTTCAATGGGTTTTTGGGTAATTCGTTCCAGCTCACCGAAAATTGCCTAAATTCAACAAAAAAGGTAGAAAAGTTCACTTACTTTGAGGTGTGTATGTAGAAGGCTCCTGGATGATGATGATGATGATGATGATGGGAATTATAATGGGGGTGGAGGAGATAAGAGAAGAGAAGGCATTGGGGTGGAAGAGAAGTTACCCCATGGTGCCATTTCACCCATAAAATTTTAGTACTCTTGGTGTGATTCAAGATTATTTTCTTTAAATCAACACTGCACTGCATTATATATTGTCAATATGTAAAATAAATTTAAAAATGACCAATAATTTGCTTGCAAACACAGAAAAAAGCATTTAGTTGAAGAGAGTCTCAAGCAAGATGTTACCTCCACTGAAAAGACAGAGACTGGCGCCTGTTTGGTGTGTTGCCAGGCTGGATGGCGCGCATGAAACTAGTTTCCTTACCTTCAATTATGTTCAATAATTGTTAAATTGACTAAAAATTTAATATTAAACTTTTAAAATTATTGAATAGTAAAAACATCTTGATATTTACTAAAATACTAAGGAATTTAAGCCCTAAAACCAATTACTGTATTGGCGGACTAAAACTACAGCTGGTGGACCGCCAAATGCAAGCAAAAACATGTTGAGGTGGCTCGTAAAAAACTTGTTAATCGAGGGATTGCTCGTTAACCGAAGTTAAGAATCTTATGGAAGGTAAATCGTTAACCGAAATTTCGTTAACCGAGGCGCTCGTTAACCGAGGGATCACTGTACAGTGTTGTACTGTAAATGTGAACCTCAACTAAACTCATCAATAAGGATTATCTTCCTAATATACTCAACTAAACTCATCAATAAGGATTATCTTCCTAATATACTGTACAGTGTTGTACTGTAAATGTGAACCTCAACTAAACTCATCAATAAGGATTATCTTCCTAATATACTGTACAGTGTTGTACTGTAAATGTGAACCTCAACTAAACTCACCAATAAGGATTATCTTCCTAATATACTGTACAGTGTTGTACTGTAAATGTGAACCTCAACTAAACTCATCAATAAGGATTATCTTCCTAATATACTGTACAGTGTTGTACTGTAAATGTGAACCTCAACTAAACTCATCAATAAGGATTATCTTCCTAATATACTGTACAGTGTTGTACTGTAAATGTGAACCTCAGCTAAACTCATCAATAAGGATTATCTTCCTCAATATACTGTACAGTGTTGTACTGTAAAATGTGAACCCTAACTAAACTCATCAATAAGGATTATCTTCCTAATATACTGTACAGTGTTGTACTGTAAATGTGAACCTCAACTAAACTCATCAATAAGGATTATCTTCCTAATATACTGTACAGTGTTGTACTGTAAATGTGAACCTCAGCTAAACTCATCAATAAGGATTATCTTCCTAATATACTGTACAGTGTTGTACTATAAATGTGAACCTCAACTAAACTCACCAATAAGGATTATCTTCCTAATATACTGTACAGTGTTGTACTATAAATGTGAACCTCAACTAAACTCACCAATAAGGATTATCTTCCTAATATACTGTACAGTGTTGTACTGTAAATGTGAACCTCAACTAAACTCATCAATAAGGATTATCTTCCTAATATACTGTACAGTGTTGTACTGTAAATGTGAACCTCAACTAAACTCATCAATAAGGATTATCTTCCTAATATACTGTACAGTGTTGTATCTTCTAATATACTGTACAGTGTTGTACTGTAAATGTGAACCTCAACTAAGCTCATCAATAAGGATTATCTTCCTAATATACTGTACAGTGTTGTACTGTAAATGTGAACCTCAGCTAAACTCACCAATAAGGATTATCTTCCTAATATACTGTACAGTGTTGTACTGTAAATGTGAACCTCAACTAAACTCATCAATAAGGATTATCTTCCTAATATACTGTACAGTGTTGTACTGTAAATGTGAACCTCAACTAAACTCATCAATAAGGATTATCTTCCTAATATACTGTACAGTGTTGTACTGTAAATGTGAACCTCAACTAAACTCATCAATAAGGATTATCTTCCTAATATACTGTACAGTGTTGTACTGTAAATGTGAACCTCAACTAAACTCATCAATAAGGATTATCTTCCTAATATACTGTACAGTGTTGTACTGTAAATGTGAACCTCAACTAAACTCATCAATAAGGATTACCTTCCTAATATACTGTACAGTGTTGTACTGTAAATGTGAACCTCAACTAAACTCATCAATAAGGATTATCTTCCTAATATACTGTACAGTGTTGTACTGTAAATGTGAACCTCAACTAAACTCATCAATAAGGATTGTCCTCCTAATATACTGTACAGTGTTGTACTGTAAATGTGAACCTCAACTAAACTCATCAATAAGGATTATCTTCCTAATATACTGTACAGTGTTGTACTATAAATGTGAACCTCAACTAAACTCATCAATAAGGATTATCTTCCTAATATACTGTACAGTGTTGTACTGTAAATGTGAACCTCAACTAAACTCATCAATAAGGATTATCTTCCTAATATACTGTACAGTGTTGTACTGTAAATGTGAACCTCAACTAAACTCATCAATAAGGATTATCTTCCTAATATACTGTACAGTGTTGTACTATAAATGTGAACCTCAACTAAACTCATCAATAAGGATTATCTTCCTAATATACTGTACAGTGTTGTACTGTAAATGTGAACCTCAACTAAACTCATCAATAAGGATTATCTTCCTAATATACTGTACAGTGTTGTACTATAAATGTGAACCTCAACTAAACTCATCAATAAGGATTATCTTTCTAATATACTTTGTACAGTGTTGTTACTGTAAATGTGAACCTCAACTAAACTCATCAGCCAAGTTATCAGCTACTAATATACTGGCAGTGTTGTACTGTAAATGTGAACCTCCAACTAAACTCACCAATAAGATGTCTTCTAATACTGTACAGTGTTGTACTGTAAATGTGAACCTCAACTAAACTCATCAATAGGGATTATCTTCCTAATATACTGTACAGTGTTGTGCTGTAAATGTGAACCTCAATAAACTCATCAATAGGATTATCTTCTAATATACTGTACAGTGTTGTACTGTAAATGTGAACCTCAACTAAACTCATCAATAAGGATTATCTTCTAATATACTGTACAGTGTTGTACTGTAAATGTGAACCTCAACTAAACTCATCAATAAGTTATCTTCCTAATATACATGCAGTGTTGGCACTGTAAATGTGAACTCAATAAACTCATCAGCCAAGGATTATCTTCCTAATATACTGTACAGTGTTGTACTGTAAATGTGTGAACCTCAACTAAACTCATCAATAAGGATTATCTTCTAATATACTGTACAGTGTTGTACTATAAATGTGAACCTCAACTAAACTCATCAATAAGGATTATCTTCCTAATATACTGTACAGTGTTGTACTGTAAATGTGAACCTCAACTAAACTCATCAATAAGGATTATCTTCCTAATATACTGTACAGTGTTGTACTATAAATGTGAACCTCAACTAAACTCATCAATAAGGATTATCTTCCTAATATACTGTACAGTGTTGTACTGTAAATGTGAACCTCAACTAAACTCATCAATAAGGATTATCTTCCTAATATACTGTACAGTGTTGTACTGTAAATGTGAACCTCAACTAAACTCATCAATAAGGATTATCTTCCTAATATACTGTACAGTGTTGTACTGTAAATGTGAACCTCAGCTAAACTCATCAATAAGGATTATCTTCCTAATATACTGTACAGTGTTGTACTGTAAATGTGAACCTCAACTAAGCTTCATCAATAAGGATTATCTTCCTAATATGCTGTACAGTGTTGTACTGTAAATGTGAACCTCAGCCTAAACTCATCATGGGATTATCTTCCTATTATGCCAGCCACCAGTGTTGTACTGTAAATGCTGAACCTCAGCTAAACTCATCAATAGAGTTATCTTCCTAATATACTGTACAGTGTTGTACTGTAAATGTGAACCTCAACTAAACTCATCAGCCAAGTTATCTTCTAATAATATACTGTACAGTGTTTGTACGCTGTAAATGTGAACTCAGCCTTCGCTTCCATCAATAGGATTATCTTCTAATATACTGCATGCAGTGTTGTACTGTAAATGTGAACCTCCAGCTAAACTCATCAATAAGGATTATCTTCCTAATATGCTGTACAGTGGCCTGGCAATGTGAACCTCAACTAAAACTCATCAATAAGGATTATCTTCCTAATATACTGTACAGTGTTGTACTGTAAATGTGAACCTCAACTAAACTCATCAATAAGGATTATCTTCCTAATATACTGTACAGTGTTGTACTGTAAATGTGAACCTCAACTAAACTCATCAATAAGGATTATCTTCCTAATATACTGTACAGTGTTGTACTGTAAATGTGAACCTCAACTAAACTCATCAATAAGGATTGTCCTCCTCATAAGACAGGTCCTCATGGATATTATGTGCACTGCACTTGTTTGTATTCTATTAATGATTCTACACAGACAAACATGTGACTCCCAGAGAAAGAAAAGTCTAATATGAGAATCAGTGAACAACCGATAAAGGCATGCAAGTATAAGGCTGGCCAGCTGTTAATATCTTAAATGATAAAACAACTGATAAAGTATAAGGCTGGCCAGCTGTTAATATCTTAAATAAATTATTTATCATAACCAGATTGGTGTATGTGTGGGTATTAATGGCAGTTATCATGACCAGTTCAATGGGGAAGGATTGTTTTTGAACAAGAGACATAACTCACCTAATCTCCTATTTTCATCAGCAATGTACACACTCTCTTCATCATCATTGTACTCCAAAGTGTCGCTCCACTTAGTCATTTCTTTAACGTTAAAATCTCCATCTTGCCTGTGCCTCTTGTTCTCCCGGTCAAGTCCTTCAGGTGCGTCACGCTTAAATCCTGCTGAAGGTCTTTTTCTTATATTCCCTAACACTGTATAATACCAAGGAAGGTAATGGTTGTGTGGGCAGAAAATGGATATTAAAAACCAACTTCACATCTGTCAGCAGGTTAAAGTATTTCTGGTGAGCGATTTTCTTTAGGTTTTGTGTTTGTCAGTACTGAACTATGTGGTAACAATAAGTGCCTCAACCACCATAACATTACTGCAACCAGACCTAGAAACATTGTTTACTTTTATAGTTAAGCTTTAACATACACACATCTTTAACAGTCATCAATCAGCCATAAAAATACATTACGTACACCTTTTTCATAAACATATTTTAGCAGAATAAACTTTAATATGTAAACTTCAGCTAGTTAGATGTCTGCGAATGTTCTTAAAGATATTCTGTATATCAATAACTGGTTAAGTATAAAATAATATTCTTCCATTTTAATAAATGTCTTAAAGATAATTTAAACCTTCCAGTGAGAACCTTGATTATTGTGTGTTATGTTTCTTTACCATACTACATTATAATCATTGAAATACTGTACACAGAGGTACATAAAATAATGGTATATTTACACATGAAACATGCACTGTACTTATATGTATCACACCAGTACATTAAACAATTAACAGTGAGTTGTACACAATATTTCAATAATGTTAACCACAATTTTCTTATTAAACTGGGAAGTTTGTTCACTGGAAAACACAAAATAAAGTAATCCATTACAGCATTACCAAATACTGTATTGTCTTCTGAATATTTATATTATTTGTGACAGATGATTCAGCTTAATAAATACATTGTGAAAATGTGTCCAACTCAGTATAGTTGTGTACTGTATTCATATATTGTAATACAGTACTGTATACTACTGTAGTCCAATAAGGATTATTATAAGTGTGTGTGTGTGTGTGTGTGTGTGTGTGTGTGTCTACTCCTGCACACATTCACAAACATATAAACAACTACTATACATATATCACCTCTGTCAGTGCTGCCATCTCTTGGTGGTTGTGTGCCCCAAGGAGTGTTGTTAGCAGCCATCCCTGGGACCGGGTATTCTCCCATCAACGAATTCTGTTGAAACCCACGATTTCTTTGTTGTGGTCCTTTGCCCGTATTAGCTGTGAGCATCAGTGATATATTGATAGTTCTACGAGACCACTTTAACGCACCAAACACCACATAATAATTTATCACCGGCCGTTCTAACAACTGCCGCCACATTACACTGCCTTTTAGTGCTGTCAATCATGATCACAATGTTCCACAGCTTCAGGTTCTCCTTAAAGGTAAATGTGGAGACTTTTAAGTCAAGTTTAATAATGATAATTACCATTTAATGATATACAGTAGTAATGAGTTTCATAACAAATTTAATAAATGACATGACAAACTGAAACTGTAAAATGTATCAAACTCTCTCTTTCACAGGAGGATACTTACCTGTTAACCCATCCTCTGTACCTGCTTATGGCCACACTATCCTGCCACCAACCTATCCCCTGTACCTCCTTATGGCCACACTATCCTGCCACCACCCTATCCCCTGTACCTGCTTATGGGCACACTATCCTGCCACCAACCTATCCCCTGTACCTGCTTATGGCCACACTATCCTGCCACCACCCTATCCCCTGCACCTGCCTATGGGCCACACACCATCCTGCCACCACCCTATCCCTGCACCTGCCTATGGCCACACTATCCTGCCACCAACCTACCCCCTGTACCTCCTTGTGGCCACACTATCCTGCCACCACCCTATCCCCTGTACCTGCTTATGGGCACACTATCCTGCCACCAACCTATCCCCTACACCTGCTTATGGCCACACTATCCTGCCACCACCCTATCCCCTGCACCTGCCTATGGCCACACTATACGAGAAGTAAACATAAAGTATATCTGATTGTTTCCTTCACTCACCTCACTCGTAAGTCTCTTGTGACACTTACTCAATCACCTTCAAAGATTGACACACACACACTTATATGAATAAAACAATAAACAAAACGTACCATTTTCTCTATTATAGTTGTTCCTTCGCTGGTTCATCATTGGGTGTAGTTTGACAGGTTCCATGTTGGCACCCGTTGCCCCGAGAGGCATGTTGGCACCCGTTGCCCCAGGAGGCATGTTGGCACCCCTACCCCTAGAGTACATGTTGGCACCCCTACCCCCAGAATGCATGTTGGCACCTCTACCTCCAGAGTTCATGTTGGCACCTCTACCTCCAGAGTTCATGTTGGCACCTCTACCCCCAGAGTGCATGTTGGCACCTCTACCCCCAGAGTTCATGTTGGCACCTCTACCCCCAGAGTTCATGTTGGCACCTCTACCCCCAGAGTGCATGTTGGCACCCCTACCCCCAGAGTTCATGTTGGAACCCCTACCCCCAGAGTTCATGTTGGAACCCCTACCCCCAGAGTGCATGTTGGCACCTCTACCCCCAGAGTGCATGTTGGCACCCCTGCCTCCAGAGTGTATATTGGCACCCCTTCTTCCAGAGTGCATGTTGGCACCCCTTCCCCTGGAAAATGTGTTGGCACCCTTCCCCCTGGAGTGCATGCTGGCACCTGTACCCCCAGAGTACGTGTTGGCACCTGCACCACCAGAATTGTCCCCCCAACCGGGGAATTCTGACCCAGGATTTAGGTCAAATCCAATGTCTTTCTTTTGTTGCTGTCTGTTGTGCCTGTTGACTGAACATTAAATGTACATTAGTTTTAAACAACCAACATCAACTATAAATACAGAACAGTATGGTACTGTTGACTGATCATTTATCATTCCACTCACAGGAACATGTCAGGCAGGTGTGCATGTACATGTGTACAGTCAGCCAAAGATCCAGCGACCCAACTGGGTTTCGTACTGGCAATCTTACGTGGCAATACTTGGTAAAGTAAGGCTGTATGTAATGGTGATTGTGATTGGTGGATTTATTTTCGGCTGTATCACTGTCAGGATAAATGTTAAACAAACCAAAGGTAACATTTTTACAATAATAAACTATTCATCATTATTTTAGATCATGAGAAGTTTCCAAATGTTTGTATATTTGCTTAAATAATGAAGAAAATTTGATGTGAGAATCTTGTGGCAGCTGTGGTTGTGGCTGAGTTGCCAATTTATTAATATGATTTTCTTCATTTGTGTCACTCCTGACTTGCCTCTCTGCTTCATGGATGTAGACAACAGTGACAGTTAGCAACATCATCAGCTGTAATAAGATGGTACAGGACAAAGCAGGCCATCCTGCATGCATGTCCTCAGTGTAATAATCTTGATATAAAAAACATTGCTCAATGATTGGTCTGTATATTACCATTACAACACTTGTTCCAAATGACCAGATTGTACTAATAAGCCTCATTTGTTTCAGTACATCTCAAATGGAAAATTCAGTAAATTAGTTCACTCACCTTTATAATTTTCATTGTTTAAATTTATCTAACTCCTTAGGTTGACCAAAAATCCATTAAAACTTTGTACTATTATTGAAGTGAATATAAGAGAAAACTGAGCTGCATATTTACCAATGAAACCTCCAGAGGGCAAACCCAGATAAACCCTGGGCAGTAACCCTTAAAATCTTAAATGATGGTCATCATCAGTGGAAGTAAACTGATGGATTGGCAAACCATACCTACAGCTAACTTCCACAGATGATGGATGCCATCCATAGACGAAAACAAATGAGTCTTACTTTTATTAGGTTGTTGTTGTTGTTGTTGTGGTTGTTGTTGTTTGTTGCCACCATTGAGATTCTTTAAGCTGCCCAAGTTTGAGAGCAGAGTTCCTACACCACGATGGAGGGGCGCTGCTTGTTGATTATCTAGAAGAAAAAATAATTACTGTATTACAATTAATACCTGTAATGATTAACTGACATACAGTACAGTACTGTACATGAGTAATAAAGTCAAAACAAAACTATATGAAGCTCAAGAGCCTAAGATGGTATGCCTCCTGCATCATGTATGTTTCTGCCTTAAATACATCATTAAAAGTAATGCAGTTTTGTATAATCAAAAATTAAAACCCAGAAGACTTATTATGTGTGAGATAATAAAGAGAGCGATTGACTGCCAGAGCAACATTGTACATGACATCAACAATCAGTGAATGTTTCCAAGATTGAAGAAAAATAAATTATACTGTACAATATTTACTTTTTTCTCCAGCAACATTGTCCTTTTCTTCTTTTAATTCCTCTTTAACCTTAGTTGGTTCAGTCGCGTTTTTCTTGTCGTCGGCGTCGACGCTGGCCGGCGGCTCGGGCTTAAGGTCCCCCCAGCCAGTAAACTCTGCCGTGGAACTCACATCAAACCCCTGCCTTTCTTGCAACGCTGGCTTGGGCTTGGCCGCATTCACTGTCAAGTTTTACGGCACATTAGCTGATACATTATACTGTGTGGCTGCTCACTAAGATGTGTGCGTTCATGTTAACAATATTATTACTGACTTAGAACACATTCCCACCACAAAATAATAATAACAATACTAGCATTAATAATAATGGAGGACTTATTACTGCAACAAGTGACACACACACTGTCTTAAAGTAAGTACAGTACAGTACAGTACACTGTACAGTACAGTACTGTAATACAACAGTACTGTACAACAAGTGACACACACACACTGTCTTAAAGTAAGTACAGTACAGTACAGTACAGTACAGTACAGTACACTGTACAGTACAGTACTGTAATACAACAGTACTGTACAACAAGTGACACACACACACTGTCTTAAAGTAAGTACAGTACAGTACAGTACAGTACAGTACAGTACACTGTACAGTACTGTGTTGTGTTCACTCACCTGTTACACTCCATATACTGTATTACTACAGTACTGTATAACATGTGACACACACACACACACACACATACTGCCTTAAAGAAAGTACAGTACAGTACAGTACACTGTACAGTACTGTGTTGTGTTCACTCACCTGCTACACTCCATATACTGTATTACTACAGTACTGTACAACAAGTGACACACACACACTGCCTTAAAGGAAGTACAGTACAGTACACAGTACAGTACAGTACAGTACAGTACACTGTACAGTACTGTGTTGTGTTCACTCACCTGCTACACTCCATATACTGTATTACTACAGTACTGTACAACAAGTGACACACACACACTGCCTTAAAGGAAGTACAGTACAGTACACAGTACAGTACAGTACAGTACAGTACACTGTACAGTACTGTGTTGTGTTCACTCACCTGCTACACTCCATATACTGTATTACTACAGTACTGTACAACAAGTGACACACACACACTGCCTTAAAGGAAGTACAGTACAGTACACAGTACAGTACAGTACAGTACAGTACACTGTACAGTACTGTGTTGTGTTCACTCACCTGCTACACTCCATATACTGTATTACTACAGTACTGTACAACAAGTGACACACACACACTGCCTTAAAGGAAGTACGGTACAGTACACAGTACAGTACAGTACTGCATCCCCTCATCTGCCACACTCCATATATAATTATTCCTGTACTACACTACAGGTATTAAGTTCTTTATATAATGTACAGTAGAATTTGTTAAATAAAACTATCAAATTAAGTAATTTTTACACCAAGGTTAGTTTATTATACAGTATATCTAAACATTATTATCACCAACACAAACATGAGTCTCACCCTTAGGAGGCGTCTTCTTCAGCTCAGCAGCTTGGCCGCCCTTCAGTTTACCGCCCCCCATGCTGGACAGAATGGCCCCAATGCCACGCTGGAGGAGCAGCTGTGTTGCTACAATGAGAGGAACTGCTTTAGCTACTGTACAACTTTGTCTTCTCCATCCACACAAAACACACGGTAATCATCAGGGACTAGACACTTACTACACCATTGAAATTAACAGTACAAAAATAACTTAAAATGTGAAAGTTTTGTATCACTCTAGAGTAGCTATAGACTAAATCATGCTCAAGGCTCAAGGCTGTATAGTTCCATGTTTCACTTAACAAGGGTTGATGTAGTTAGGACAATGTGTATATTGGAGACAACATCAACACGTATGGAAAAGTTTATTATGTCTGTTGCCCAGGAATGTGAACTTGACTAAAAAAATAACCTAATCTCTATAACATACAACAAAATCAATATTGAAGTGATTAAAGTAATAATGATAAATAAAATTTCACTTAAAGTAAGGCAGGGTTCTGTACTAGCTTCATTTACTGTACTAGCTTTATTTACTTTAATTCAACAAGCTGGCATAACTAGCTAATATCTACATCTGACTTTCTATCATCACACACGGTCTCAGTATTTACAGGTTGAAGACAATGTTAATTACTGTATATCACAACTGTAATCTAACTTACCACTTCTCAAGTGTTAATTATAATACAGTATCATAAGTTTCCTTTTTGGTAAATCTAATCCATCATTAACCCACAGATTCTTCATATTAAATTGTAACACTTGTAAAATTAATTTGTTTTTGATAATCCAGTACATTACTGTACATACTACTCTTTTATATTTATTTAACAAACCTTTCCAATTTATGATGATAATTCACATCAGTACATAAATCTTAAAAAAAATTATGATACCTCACTATTAAGTTTACAAAAAGCTTTAAATCTGTTGGCAAGTATATAGAGTACTGTACTGTACTGGACATGAACTGGCTCCAGGATGTACTGGGCAAGCTACCTTGGTACGGGGTATCTGTACCTATGCCAGTGTTGGTCAAGTCTGGTCTTGAAACAGCTCACACTCGGTGTCGTCACAACACTCCCTGGCAGATTGTTACAAGAGTTCACAACTCTCACTCCAAAAAAGTTTGCCCTAACAATTTTTTAAACTTGTGGCTTCTTCAACCTTAAGGTGTAACCTGTAGTGGGGCGGGCATCTGCCAGTTCCAGATATGAACACTCGACTAAGTAATGTCGTCTGAGGTATAAGCCAGACAGTTGCAGGTCCTCTAATCTCTCAGGGTAACTGAGGTACCTACCAAACCTCACAGGTTTCCGGACTTCGGTTTCTTCCTGAACTAACACTGGTGGTCCTCCTTTGGACATTTTAATCAACTGACAGTCTGTAGCATATCTCGAGGACCAGACGGGGTGACAGTACTCCAGACAGGGCAGCACCTCACTCTTGAAGAGCATTATGAGGGGCGGGCCATTGTGAAGTTGTATGATGATTTTACTGTATAACTTATTATCTGTCTACCTGGGACTCAATATTTTGTCTTACGTTGTTCTATGGGTTGACTGATTTTCTTGGTAATAATTCATGACATATACAACATAATAAAACACAGTACAGCTGTAACGTACTATACAATAAACTACTGAAGACAGCACAAAACCACACACTGACAACCCTTTATCCAGTCGCTTCTATTAATGATATTTGTTTGAAAACCATTTCATTAGGTATGGAAACCCATTAAAATACTCACATTCCGACATTGGTGGACGTATGTGTAAATAAAGTAAAGAATTGATGTGATGGCAGCGTCCACCACAACAACAACATGGTCAGTGTTAGAACAATACCACGAACACTACCACCAACATATTTATTTATCCATTACTGTCTTATAAATATAAATTCAATAGATTGATAAATAATCAGTAACATTATCATTCAAGTTCACATTAGTTCATCATGTATGTTGATAGTGGAGATATAGAAGCAACCATACTGGTAGTCTGGTACAGCAGTAACGTGTCAAGAGTTCGAGGTCTGTTTGGCCCGGACACACGTGAGAAGGTGTTGTAGTGGAATTCTCCCCTACAAACGCTGTTTGTCGCTGCCTAGCCGACCCCACCAATTCCCCAGTGTGTGCCTCGTGGTCTGGGTCAACCAGCGCCGCCATACATCACGGAGCGGGGGTCAACTGCTAAGCCACGCCTAACCCCGCTATTTAAGACCTGACCTCCTGGTGATCTCTCTCTTTCTACCTACAGCCGCAGCCAGCAACACCTCCTCCTCCGCCGCTGCCTGGCGGCCCTCGCTCCTCCGCCGCTGCCTGGCGGTCCTCTCTCCCGCCGGCGAGCATGGCGACCCACAAGCTGTTCTTCTCTGAGAGTCCTCACCAACCAGCTCTCTCTACATCACGCTTGTAACCATGCTGCCTTCCCAGCACCAAGCTGCATTGTACATCCAATACAACATGTATATAGAGAGCACATTGTGAGTTTCCTTTCTCCATTCCATCCTGAGTGTGAACCAAACAATCTCGAACCCCACAGTGTACATGTTAACCAGTATGGGTCCGACCCCACCAAACATCACAGGTTTCCCGGACTTCGGTTTCTTCCTGAACTAACACTAGATAGACCAACCGCCCGAACGGCTAACAAGTTGATAAGTGGTGAAAATTATAAAAGAAAAGGTACAGGATATTGTAGTGGATTTCTCCCCTACAAACGCTGTTTGTCGCTGAGTAGCCGACCCCGCGAATTCCCCAGTGTGTGCCTCGTGGTCTGGGTCAACCAGCGCCGCCATACATCACGGAGGTCAACTACTAAGTCACGCCTACCCCCGCTTTTTAAGACCTGACCTCGTGGTGACCTCTTTCTTCTTCTAGCTACAGCCGCAGCAAGCTACACCACCTCCTCCGCCGCTGCCTGGCGGCCCTCGCTCCCGCCAGCGAGCATGGCGACCCACAAGCTGTCCTCTGAGCACCCTCACCAACCAGCTCTCTCTTCATCACGCTTGTAACCACGCTGCCACTTCCCAGCACCAAGCTGCATTGTACATCCAATACAACATGTATACAGAGAGCACATTGTAGTGGAATTCTCCCCTACAAACGCTGTTTGTCGCTGCCTAGCTGACCCCACCAATTCCCCAGTGTATGCCTCGTGGTCTAGGTCAACCAGCGCCGCCATACACCACGGAGCGGGGGTCAACTGCTAAACCACGCCTACCCCCGCTATTTAAGACCTGACCTCGTGGGGATCTGTCTCTCTTTCTACCTACACCAACCAGCCAGCAACACCTCCGCCTGCCTGGCGGTCCTCGCTCCTCCGCCTGCCTGGCGGTCCTCCCTCCCGCTGGCAAGCATGGCGACCCACAAGCTGTCCTTCTCTGAGCGTCCTCACCAACCAGCTCTCTCTACATCACGCTTGTAACCATGCTGCCTTCCCAGCACCAAGCTGCATTGTACATCCAATACAACATGTATATAGAGAGCACATTGTGAGTTTCCTTTCTCCATCCAATCCTGAGTGTGAACCAAACATCCTGAACCCCACAACAATGTGACTTTCTTTTCTCCATCCCATCCTGAGTGTGAACCCAAACAACCCGTACCCCACAATATCACAGATATCACAGTACAGATATCTAGACGGTCTGTCCCTCGTAACGATCTTCAAGAGTGAAGTGCTTCCCATCTGGAGTACTGTCACCCCGTCTGGTCCCCGAGATATGCTAGGGACTGTCAGTTGGTTGAAAATGTTCAAAGGAGGGCCACCAGACTGGTGCCTGCATTTCGGCACCTCAACTACCCTGAGAGATTGGAGCGCCTAAACTTGCCTAGCTTATACTAGACGGACAAGGGGCGACCTATTTGAGGTGTATAAGCATCTCAGGGGGCACTACTCAGTCGAGTGTCCTTTCTTGAAGCTGGCGGACGCTCGCCCCACAAGGGGTCACAGCTCAAGATTGAAGAAGCCGCAGGTCCAGAAAACTGTGAGGGCAAACTTTTTCGGAGTGAGAGTTGTAAACTCTTGGAACAATCTACCAGAAAGTGTTGTGACGGCACCAAGAGTGGAGCAGGTTCAGGTACATTCAGGAGCCGGTGCATGCCCAGTACTTGCCAACAGTGCATAACAGAGACGTGACCGATCGCCCAAGCGGCTAACGAGCCGTTCAGTGGTGAAGAGGATAGAAGTAAAAGTAAAAAAGAAGCAAGGACAAAAGCTAATGGTCTCCTCTACAAAATTAAGACTTTTGATATTATTTGATGTTCATGGAAAATATCAAATTCAAAACTAAGCACATGGTAGATGTGTTGCAAACTGAGGGTTCAGATGTTTCTGAAGCTATTATCTCTATGAAAAGTACATTGAAAATACTTCAGTCAATACGTAGTGATGATGAGGCTCAGAAATATTTGCTGGAGGCTGCACTCAACTTTGATGTTGATGGAGAAGAAGAGTTCTAGAGAGTTCACCGTCAAAGGAAACAGCCCCCCCCCCCCCTTAAATGTGGATAATCCAAACTCTAGTGTCATGATCGTGATGACGGCTAACCTGAAAACCTTAAGGATTCATATTACGCTCAAACGTCCACAAAACCTTCCGAGTCCTCCAGTGGAAACGTCCCCCGTTTTCTCTGTTCCTTTGAATATAATCCGCAGATTTCGTAGCAAGATGCTGTATGTTGGGACCTGTTGCCATCCAACCCTTTGTAATCAATTTAATTTTGCTTTTGATAACTCAGTCAGAGCATTGTTAGTGAGGATAATAGTAGGGAATGAAACTGAGTTCATAGTCTCAGTTTCAACGTCAGAGTGTACAGTAAATTAATTCATCGAAATAGAAGTAGGTGGACTCCCTGGCCTATTTTGAGTGAGGGTGCCGCGGGCATTTCAACCGTTATTAAGTGTTCGTCCCTTCACCCATACAGGTCCCTAACGCAGCCTAGGCCGTGTCTGTAGCGTGGATGTTGTATCCACTATGTCTGGGGAGATGTCCGAGGTCCAGTAGGATCAGTTACCTTCGTGAGACCCGGCCGTCAGACACTTCAGACTACCTATAGCCCCCATAGCTGGCTCGTCTGGCCCTAACGCTCGGCCTGCGAGGTGACCCCGGATCACCAAGCCACACACCACTACCAGCCCCCATCATTGGTGGATGAGTGTCTAACTCAGTAGGGCTATTTGTGTGGTGGAATTAATCCACTGGGATCTCCAGAGTTCGTCGGAAAGTACTCCATGGTGGCTGGACCCCATGGCTGTTGCTTGAGTATCACCCCTGACGACTGAGTGTTGTAGTGGCAGTTGCCCTGGTCTTTATGGTGCTAAGTGACTATAAGAGTTGTGTGTTATTGAGTATGTCCACCCAGTAGGGTTGGAAGTGTTATTGAGTATGTCCACCCAGTAGTGGTGTGAGTATGTTGAGCCTGAGGGCCTAGTACTAGATTTCGTCTGTTGGTACAAATAAATTCTTTCTCCTAATTTCATATTAATTTTTAAATAAATTTTGTATTTGTATATTGTGTCTATTATGTACCTACAGTATTTACCGTTATTTCTTCCCTATTGCTTGATACTATCATTACATCTACCCACGAGCCTCCTCTCGTCACGCTACCAATGGTAATAAGTATGAGAGTAAAAGGAATTGTTACTGGCACACAGAGGCCCTCATAAAAGGTGGCAGTAGTGGCCCTCATACTAGTGCTCTGTGTTGACTTCGAAATGTGAAAATCTGAAATCTTCATTCAGATATTTTGTGGATGTTCATGATCCTAATGTTGCAAACTATGACTCAGAAAGCTTAATTGAAGCCATGAAAAATATGACAGAAACCTTTCCATCTGAAAGACCTGATACTAAATTTTTCCGAGTTGAATTAGATTTAATTGGAATGTTTAACATTAATTTTTCTGAATATATGGAGCAGCATCCTGATGTAGAAAAAAAAAAACATTCGCTCATCTGCAGAATGTGCACTGAATGCTCATCGAGAGTATTATTTATTTTCTCATGTGGCAAAAGTTTTCAGGTTATTTTTGACAGCACCACCTTCAATATGCAAAAGTGAAAGGTCTTTTAGCAGGCTTAAGCTTTTGAAAACATCCCTGCGAAACAAAACTTCAGAAAAACAGTTGCATAATCTTATGCTCATAGCTTGTGAGAATGACATAACTGATCAGTTAGATCCTCAAAAGATTGCAGATAATTGGAAGCTTAAGAAAACTAGGAGAATTAAAATTTGAGATTAACTTCAATGAATAGGTTAATGCTGCTGATTTTATACAAGCAGTAAATAAAAAACATTTATTTTCATTATTTTTTTCTATTTGAATAAAGAATAACATTTTACTTTATCCATTTCAAATTTCTAGGCTAATGTTTAATAACTAAACATTCAATAAAGAACATTTTGTAGTTAGCTTGGTCATTTTTCTTTTAATCCTCATTAGTTAGTCAAATTTGGTAGACTGAGCGGCGAGTTAGTAAAAAAAGATTACCCCTTCCCCCCTCCCCCAATCACAACCTCATTGGGCCATTCCTGGGGTCTGGACCCCCCTTTTCATCAGAAAATTCCAATACTTTTTATTTAATGCAGTATTATAGTCAGGCGTTTTTGTATAGTAAAAATTAATTACGAATGACCCCCAGTTGGGTGGGCTGGCTGTGCTCGCCATGTTCCCCCACCCACAACTTCTTGGACCTCCCCTTTTGATATTCCTGGATTCGCCCCTGCATTATCACCACACTGCTTACGGTCACAAAGAAGTCCCAAATTCCAAAACTGTTTCGAATGTTGTAAAAACACGGGTTCAGAATTCAAACCCCACAAGGGGTCACAGCTCAAGATTGAAGAAGCCGCAAGTCCAGAAAACTGTGAGGGCAAGCTTTTTCGGAGTGAGAGTTGTGAACTCTTGGAACAATCTACCAGGGAGTGTTGTGACGGCACCGAGTGTGAGCTCTTTCAAGACCAGACTTGACCAACACTGGAGCAGGTTCAGGTACATTCAGGAGCTGGTGCATGCCCAGTACTTGCCAACAGTGCGTGACAGAGACGTGACCGATCGCCCAAGCGGCTAACGAGCCGACCAATGGTGAAGAGGATATAAACAAAAACAAAACGACCTGGCGGGCTGGCGCCTGGTGGCATCATTGAGACGCCGATTGTCGAGGTAGGAGGAAGTGTTTATGGACTTGTGACGTTGTGATAGTTTAAGAAGAAAAAACTTTAAGCCGTTGCATTCGGAAATGAAACAGTAAGTAATTACTTTAAAATCGAATGAATGTGACATGTTTGTGTGTAAACCAACCGGCTCTGGGTCACAGTGCAACTGAACATGAGACTTGGAGTTGGAGGGGCAGCTTTTATATTAAGGCTTGCAGTTTCGGTCCAAACTGAATTGCTATTAATCACTAGTAGTAATCAAGGTCGTTGCCACTCCAGAATGCCGCCAAGCATTCTAAAAATATTTAATTTTTTTCCCACTAAACTTATTTGGAAATTTAAGTGTCTTTTTTTATTTCATATTAATAACCAGGATAAATTTGCATTTTCAACCAAATGGTTCTAGAGTTGAGTAATGTGTTTTTCCGGTGCTTTTTTGTGTGTTTTTCAGGGGCAGATCCAGGAATATCAAAAGAAGGTCCAAGAAGTTTTGGGTGGGCGAAACAAGGCGAGCACAGCCAGCTGGGGGGGGCTGTAAGCCTCCCCCCCCCCGATTTGTTGTTGTTGAAATAGATAGACAGATAAAAAATAAATAAATAAAAATCTTAAATTTACAAGAAAAAGTTGTATCACTTTTTTTTTACTAATCTGAACAACATTTGTGGAAAAAATGAACGAAATAGAAAAACACTTTCTAGGGTTATCCATTTTTCCACTACTAAAACCACTACTGTAGTACCAAAATTTCTGGGACCTTTAGAGGTCTTAATGCACAAGATGCAAATCCAGATAGGGAGCAGGAAAAGCCATTTTGGAAAACACTTAGAGGAGCAATAAAGTTAAACTACAGTAGTCCCTAAATATTGCTTGGTTCTTGCACATAAATGCAACTTTTCTCACCACTGGATTTGGTTAAATAAATGAACATGTCTTAAGATATAAAGTAAAATAAGTGGTTGAGCTAAACTTACGCTGTTTAATGATGTACTGACTGGTTAAGTTAGCCTGAACTGCTTACTTATATTAAGCCAAACTATAGTCTAAGGTTTAATGGAAAAAACTGATTGTTTTTGGCATTACAGGCATGATGTCCCTGGACCTGGCAGGATTATATAGGACAAGACTGAGGGACACCGGTGGCCTCTTCCTTCAGATTAAGGTGAGAAAGATATATATCTACTGTATATATTTTATCTCTTCAAGTTTGGCATGCTAGTATCATTCACATTTTATTCATAAAACGGTAATTATTTATGACTAACCCACGGCCGAAATTGATCGAAAACGATTATAAAAACGCCGGATTTCCACTATTATTTTATAGTGGACACTTGTAGTTTGTGCAAATGTGTTAAAAAATGGATATTTTTAAAATAAACGTAACTTAACATTTGTGGGTATGAATAACAGACCTAGCCAACCTAACCAAACAAAGCTACCTAACCTTATCTAACTTCCTTACCTGGGGGCTCTGCCCCCCTGGACCCTCTCAACCACTCTCCCTGCTTACCTACCAGCCCCCCTTCCCACTGACTTAGTAGAAGAATTTGAAGTAGCAAAACGCCTGGACAAACTAAAATTAAAACGCTCTACCACCCCCATTGACTTACCAATGAAACTCTTCAAGGAGTTCTCCCCGGAGCTTGCTAAACCCCTATGCTCCATCATCGGTGCTTCCCTCAGTCAGATGCCCAGCTGACTGGAAGACCTCTTATGTATCACCAGTGCCCAAGTCAACCAGCCCACAATCCTTAAATCAGCTATGACCTATTGCAATCACCCCAATACCCAGCCTAATCTGTGAAAGTTTTGTGTTCGACTGGGCTTATGCTGATATTGCAGGAGTCGTAGACCCTCAGCAATTTGGCAATATGAAAACTTCCTCCACCACTCACTGTCTTGTCAGCTTTCTCTATTACATATACCGCCATCTCGAGAAACGAAAAACGTCTGTAGCTGTCGCCTTCATTGATTTCACTAAAGCATTCGACCTAGTCGACCACAATATAATCATCAACAAAGCTATTGACTTCGGGCTTCGGAGAAGTCTTATACCATGGCTTACAGACTTCCTCAGTGACCGACGCCAAGCTGTACGCTTCCGAGGGGCTGTCTCCACCTTTCAGTCACTCACCTGTGGTCTCCCCCAAGGCCTCAAGATGGGACCACTCTGCTTCCTTATGCTCATCAATGATGCCCTAAGAGAAACCCCTTCTCGCTGGAAATATGTCGACGACTCCACCATTGGGATCAGCGTCAACAATTCTGCTCCCGACTATACCGCCCTTCAGGATTTATTGAACAGTCTCCAAAACTGGGTCACCAACAACCATGTCACCATCAACCATACCAAGACCATGGTTATGCACATCAACCTCTCCTCCGACATTGTCCCACCTCCTTCCATTACTTTAGGTCCGAACACACTCCAGGTTGTAGATTCCACGAAGCTCCTCGGCGTCACCATAGACAACAAACTAAATTGGAAACCACACGTCAGTGAAGTTGTCAAATCCTACAGTTTCCGTCTCCACCTCCTCCGCCGACTCAAGTCCCTCGGAGTTCCTGCACCCGAGCTCCTCAGTGTTTACACAACATTCATACTTCCCAAGCTCACCTATGCCTCCCCTACCTGATCTTCCTCCCTAAATGCCACATAATGTAAACACCTAGAAAAAGTGCAAAAGAGGGCATGCAAGATTATTCTCTCCCCTTCCTACTCCACATATCAAGAAGCGCTCAACATACTGACCCTTTCGACTCTCACTGACCATCACCACGACTTCATCTGCAAATTTGGTAAGAAGCTTCTACACCATCCTCGACACCGGCTCCTACTACCACCTGAGATCCCTAGCCCGAGAATTGCTGTTCGACACCACAACCACATCCACCCCATACGTGCACGAACTGATCGCTATAAGAACAGCCCAGTCCCAACTATTGTAAAAATTATCAATAACTTGTAATAAACCAGTGTATTCACTCCCAGTAAATACTACTTCTTGCACTGTCACTATGTTGAAATGCACTGAAGTTTGAGCTTTTCCCCATCTAGTTATTATATATCTTATTTGTATCACTTTTGTTACTTGTATATTATTTGTAATTCAAAACCCATTCCCCAAATATGTAACTGTATATTTTCAGCCTTCTGGCTGCCAATCTCTTTCAATAAACCGTTTATTATTATTACAGTATTATTATTTATTATTAATATTAAATAGAAAGAACTTACTATGATAAGGCGAAATTTGAGGCATTTTTTGGACGAGATGATGCGGGTGCATCGGCGCTTATGCAGCCCGGGCGGCGGAGTGATTTATTGTCGTGGCTGGTAACGTTGAGGAAGTGAAAGCACAGGAATTCTCGCAATGTGGACAGTCTCTCTTTGAAGAAACAATGTTGTGGTCTTTGAACAATTGAAGAGTCTTGTCTTTATTCCTAAATTTGCAAATTACGTCAATATAAGACTGACGACAACCTTCACATGTTATGCTGAAAATGAAATTGCCGCGAGCCCGGGGAAAAGCACAGCACCATAGCGCGGCCTCATTACCAACAGGAAGACAAATTAGTGAGTGCCTAGGTGCTTAATTATCTATGAAATGTAAAATTTGCACAAGAAATGATTATCATAGAACTCACTGATAAAAATAAAGTAAGAAAATAAACAGTAATAAAAATTAATGTGCTGGTTAGTCGTAAATATTAACCCGTAAAGCTATAATATGCATTCCTGGTCAATATCACTAAACTGTATGAAGTACTGTAAATACTTGTTTAGGGTCAAGAGAATAGCTGTACTTTAGGCATTATCAGGTTAAGTTTGTTTAAATACGTTTGGTAACATACTGTTACTGATTTATTATAACACTTTACAGGTAAGTGAGGGTACAGCTCATCGAGGGACTGCCACACACCAAGGATAAAAGGTATGTGTACAATAACTTTTTTTTCAGGAAACTTTGTCTCTATTCACATTCAAGGCCGTAAGTTTGCCTTAAATTTCTGATTAGTGATCCATACTAATCAGACGTCATCAGCCCCATCCTCCCTCCTATGGTAACATTAAGCATCAAATTAAACTTATCTCTCCTTTGCACCTGAAGACTATCAGAGACCTTCCAATTTCTCCCTCCTTTCTCACATGGTATCATTCGTCTTTCATTTTCATCCCCATTCCTCATGAAGTATCCAAAGGTCTTTCAAATTTTCTCGTCACGATCCTCCCTGAGTCAGATGCCTCAAAACATAGTTATGAAATAGTTTCTGGGAACTCCTTTCTAGGGGGTGGACCTGGGAGGGGGGGGGTATCGAGGGCCCTGTGAGGAGTTATGCTGGAGGGTATCTTCTACGTGCCTGGTTGGCTGGTCGATGTCTGCTCCTCTATGTGCCAGGTCGATGTCTGCTCCTCTACGTGCCTGGTCGATGTCTGCTCCTCTACGTGCCTGGTCGCTGTCTGCTCCTCAATGTGCCTGGGTTGGCTGGTCGATGTCTGCTCCTCTACGTGCCTGGTCGATGTCTGCTCCTCAATGTGGCTGGGGTGGCTGGTCAATGTCTGCTCCTCTATGTGCCTGGGGTGGCTGGTCAATGTCTGCTCCTCTATGTGGCTGGGGTGGCTGGTCAATGTCTGCTCCTCAATGTGCCTGGGGTGGCTGGTCAATGTCTGCTCCTCTATGTGGCTGGGGTGGCTGGTCAATGTCTGCTCCTCAATGTGCCTGGGGTGGCTGGTCAATGTCTGCTCCTCTACATGCCTGGGGTGGCTGGTCAATGTCTGCTCCTCTATGTGCCTGGGGTGGCTGGTCAATGTCTGCTCCTCAATGTGCCTGGGGTGGCTGGTCAATGTCTGCTCCTCTCGTGCCTGGGGTGGCTGGTCGATGTCTGCCTGGGGTGGCTGGTCAATGTCTGCTCCTCTATGTGCCTGGGGTGGCTGGTCAATGTCTGCTCCTCTATGTGCCTGGGGTGGCTGGTCAATGTCTGCTCCTCTATGTGGCTGGGGTGGCTGATCAATGTCTTCTCGTCTATGTGGCTGGGGTGGCTGGTCAATGTCTGCTCCTCTATGTGGCTGGGGTGGCTGATCAATGACTGCTCCTCTATGTGGCTGGGGTGGCTGATCAATGTCTTCTCGTCTATGTGGCTGGGGTGGCTGATCAATGACTGCTCCTCTATGTGCCTGGGGTGGCTGATCAATGACTGCTCCTCTATGTGGCTGGGGTGGCTGGTCGATGTCTGCTCCTCTATGTGCCTGGGGTGGCTGGTCGATGTCTGCTCCTGTATGTGGCTGGGGTGGCTGGTCAATGTCTGCTCCTGTATGTGGCTGGGGTGGCTGATCAACATGTTCATCTGCTTAAAAATTCTTGGTAAAATTTTCCTGGCAGTAAATTTACATAAAATTGATTGCCTTGGACTGTTCGTGTAGTGGAACACACTAACCAAACATAATTACTGTAAAATTAACCTAGGAGCCTCACCCTTCTAATAATTGCACCTTACTAAGCAGTACAGTATCACATGGTTGTCAAAGGTGGTAGTTTAAAATTTTTGATACGTCACATTTGAAGCTGGCAGCCAAACAGGTCTTCCATCTTGCTCTAGGGCCTAGTTTTTGAAGTTGAACCACCATGTGTGAAGACTAGCTGGCAGGTCTTAACAGTACATTTTGATTAGATGGTAAACATGTTGGCATGGCCACAAGCTGATAATATACTCACATGTGTACCAAGTTACAATATGCTGTATCAAGTTGCAAAGCTACAGTACCTCAGGAACTGGGTTGCATACTCGGGTACAGACTCCCAGGAAAATTGAGCTTTTAATTTGGAAAAAAACATGATCCTATGCATGAAATTTTATGAATTTCTTGCAATTTTTTTGAGTACATATACAGTACTGTAGTATAAAAAATTACCTAGTCACAGAACATTGATAGTTTTAGTTATGGAATCACTTTAAATAAAAATATAAGTTTAAATCTGAACAACCACCATTTGGACTTGTGTAAAACTAGTATACTGTACAATACAGGTATATGGGCTAGTAATTCTCCTATAACAATGTGAATTAGAACTGGTTAAGAGTTGCATTAAATATTTTGGTTGGATTCAGTTAATACTGTACTGGGAGAAACTGATTGTTAAATGTACAGTATTGTGGCATTAATTTCAAATCTTTGTTCTATAAAGAATCTTGAGTAATTAGTGATACAAATGATTACATGTGTTGACTTGATTGATTTATTTATTTATTTTTTAATATTACTTGAGATTTTTACCAAATTGTTATGTTAATAATCAATTACTTGTAAATATTGTTTATAGATACTGTATCACATGCAAGTACAGTCTCGTTCAAGATTCTTCGAACACTGCTGGAGACAGCTGGCAACTCGAGGCCGTTTGTTTACTATAGTACGTTGTATAATATACTAATATGAAACAACAAAGCCCAACCATTAATTTAGCAACGGGAACTAAGTAATCAATCACCGATGACCTTTTACATTCATTCATAATTTTCACTACTACTAAAGTAAACAAAGGGCCTTGAGTTGCCAGCTGCCTCCAACAGTGTTCGAAGAATCTTGAATGAGACTGTGCTTTATCAATATTGTCATTGTACAAACTGTAATCATATTTGATACACATTTGACTACAAAATCTGTAGGTTGTTAATCACTGATGTAAGAAAATGAGCTAAATATTTAAGGTCTTTATACTCTGGTTATCTCAATGGATGTGTTCCTAAAAGTCATTGCGATTTATGAAACTGCAAATATCAGGGCAATTTACTCCATAAGAATTAATGTAAATAGTGGGGGGATCCATTCCCAGCTGGCAACTTTCTCCGCATATTTTTTGATAACCCTCGTAGGACCCGAAACATCTCTGGTAACTTCTCTCATTAGATGTGTTTAACAAATTACAGGTGCTCCTCTACTTACGAACGAGTTATGTTCCTGAGGCTTGTTTGTAAGTCCAACTTTCCTCTTGTAGATACCAAACATATTGTAAAAAATGAAAAGATTATGGATACAGTATTTAGTACAGCTATACCCTTTAATACAGCCTTAAAACCTGGGGCCAGGTTAAGGCAAAGACTGGGAAGAATTAATTAAATTACTGGGAGAGATTAAAAAGCTGGAAATGTTGGTTAACACAATCCAAAGATGTTTAACCCTATAGTTTTAAATGCTCCCTTTTGCCAATGGGTTTCTAAGCATTGACAACCAGTTTAAAAAAAAAATTTAGTTGCTAAGGACACTGCACCACACAGCTTGATGGGGTGGTATGATGGTAAAACGAACTTACAGTATAATATAGGTACTGTATTGTAATTACTGTAGTTTGTTTTACCACCACACCTCTTTGATGAGCTCTATAGTAGTGTCCTTCACGACTCAATTTTTTTTAATCTCTGGTTGTCAACACTTAGAAACCAGTTGGCAAAAGGGGGCATTTAAAACTATAGGGTTAAACATCTTTGGATTGTGTTAACCAACATTTCCAGCTGATACTGTACAGTGGTCCCTCGGTTAACGAACACAATTCGTTCCAGAAGGTCGTTCGTTTATCAAATCCATTGTTTCAATGGGATATTGGGTAAATGGTTCCAGCTCACCGAAAAGTACATACAAAGTATAAAAAAAATGCAGTAAAGTACACTTACTTTGAGGTGTGTATGTAGAAGGCTCCTGGTTGATGATGATGATGAGAATTAGAAGTGGAGGTGGAGGAGAAAGGAGAAGAGAAGGAAGTGGGGATGGAGGAGAAATCACCTTTCAGGGGACCCATGCTTGATGCCGTCATTTCGCCAATAAAATTTTAAGTTCACTAGGTGTAATTCAAGATTATTTTCTTTAAATCAACACTGCACTGTGCTATATATTATCAATATGTTAACTAAAGTTCAGAATGACCAATAATTTCAATGAAAAATGCAAGAATATTCAAGACACCAACAAAATAGGTGCTCTCTCCACAGAAAACAAAGCCAGACTGATGCCTGGTGGCCAACCCACGCATCTGATGGGTGCACAACTAACTAGTTCCCTGTACTGCATATATTATCAATATGTTAAATAAATGTTAAAATGACTAATAATTTTAATAGAAATCATGCATAAATATTATAAAGCACAACTTTGTTGATATTTACTCCATTGGAAACGAATATAAACATAGAACAGATTACTGAATTGGCTGAGTACCCCCTCAGCTGATGTTCAAAACAAAACGTGATTTTCGTAAGGATTTCGTTAACCGAATTGAAGATTCTTATGGAAGGTAATTCGTTAACCGAAGCGTTCGTTAACTGAGGGACCACTGTACAGTGTTCCCAACCCCCAGGCAATTCTTTCACTTTATTGGTAAGCATTTGTGCTTGAATTTCAATGTAAATAGTACAGGGGATGTATTGTTTAAAATAATAACAATAAAAATTTAAAAATTAAATAACCATTAATTTTTTTAAATTTATTTTGAAAGAATATTTGTCTCACTTCTTTGACCTAGACTTGTAAATTTATTAACAAACACAAACAAATAATAATTTTCACATGAAGTCACACACCCTGGGAATGGCTGATATATTTTACAAACTAAATAACATAGTCTACAGAGTAGCAAGTATTAAATTGGGAACCTAATGCTTCTTCCACCAGCCTGGAGTGGTAAAAAAGGCTCACATTAAATATCTACATATTACACAGTTTATGATAATCTTCCATTCTTATCCTGGCTGGTACATATAAACCGAGAAAACTGAGAATTAGTCATCGGCTGCATTTAGCACTATGTACTTATGAAACACATCCTCAAGAGAAAAGAAAATTTTTTGGTCAACTGAATAAATGCAGCAAAAATTCTTTTGAAGTTGATCATACTGACTGTCATACATTTCTGTACATCTCATTGTCAGACAAAACAACAGACCTTACAAAAAAGTAACAAGGTTGACCTGAAACTAATCATAAACCACATCAGCGTGAGCTGAATAACATGGACTGGGCAGAAAGTTCTCTCAAACAGTTGTTCAGTCAGGACTGTTATTCAGAGAGCTGGATGATGCAGGTAAAAGAATGGAAATCATCCCACTTAGCCATCACACAAATAACAACCACCTTCTATTGTATAATATATCCGTATAAATACTCGTCAAATAATCTACTGAATTTAAGACAAAATTTGAGATGCAAGTACAGTACAGTACTGTATTCAGATCTCTCAATTAAGACAACCTTTGGCTTTCTGCTAAACCTGTTACTCTTCAGTTTTTAAGATCACACATGTAAAACCTGCATAGCGGTGCTACAGGTTAACTTGTAGATATTCACTGTGACGGCCACATACTGTACAGTAAGGAGAATATCTCACACCATTTATTAATAAAAACTGTACAAGTAATTACATGTATTGCAGATACATGATAAGTCACACTAACTCTGAAACCTCTTCAAACCATCAGTATATAACATATATTCAAGGGTACTATATACATGGACATGTACACTCACTCCAAAAGGTATGTTTATGGAGGGCTCCAGTAAATTTCTAAATGAACACCGTGACTCCTGTTGTCTTGGTAGGGTTGTCAGAATTCTTTGTCCGTTGTCATATTGTCTCATAAAATCAAAGATACTTTCTGGAACGAGTGTACATTATATAAATTTTTTAAAGCCACTTCCAGACCATTTTTGAACTTAATACTAATACAAATAATTTGCTACACTAATATCAATTAACTAAAAGAAAAAGTGAAAATGCATATTTTTCTGCAGTAAGAACATTTACCAGTACAGTACTGGACCTAAAGAGCAAGTACTGTACTGGTACTGTAATACACTGATTGATTAAATAATGATGATGGTGATGATGATGATGCTCCAAATTAATATCTACAATGACAGTGAGTGATATGCACCATATACAGTATAAATACTGTAGCGTTAACAAATATTTAAAGCAAAATAGAAGAAATCTTGTGTTAGTTAAAATAATTGAGCTGTCTGTCAATTCAATAAACAAGAACATACAGTTTTTTAGATTACAATAATTTTAAAAGATAATGTTAGACAAGACAGTATGATATATTGAGTTATTACAGAAGTGGGCAACTGAAATAACTAAACACGCAATCAAGGTTGGGGGGGGGTGTGTCCTGGGGTCTAGACCTCCCCTTTCATCAGAAAATTTCAATACAGTACTTCTTCTTTCATGCACATGGTAGGATTTAAAACAAATATTCTGGGGTGCTAACAGCCCCCCCATCTGGGTGAGCTCACTGCGCTCGCCATGTTTCCACACCCACAACTTCTTGGACCCCCCTTTTGATATTCCTGGATCTGCCCCTGGACTGTAATCTTCTAATACAATAATAAATTGATTGAAACATAAAAACGAGAGTATGAGGAAATGCCATCTTTGGGGTATTAATATTAAAAAGATTATATATATTATAGTATGACAAAAGGAAGACCATTGATTAGAGTTTGTGCCTTGATTTGGAAAGTTGTTTGGTTAGTGAATGTAACATATTTCCAAAACATTACTCAAACTCACTGGTATATTTTCATAACTGAGGAAGCATCATGGTCACAGTATTCTGATCATTGTCCCTCAGGTTGATACATGGAAGATGATTTATTGAACGCACAACAAAATATTTTCAAGGGCAATTGTCAAGTGGTTATCCTTCACACATTGGAGTTTTGATAAAATATTCTGGCATTGTTCAAATCCATCAAAGCTCTTACTGTACAGTACAGTACAGTACAAGTACTATACAGTTTAAGGAAGTATTTTATAGCATTAGTAGTGCCCAGTTGTTCAGTTCCAGAGTAGTGCAGTAATACAAAGTGAGTTTGGTATTACCTATAATGTTTTACAAACACATTAGAAATATATAAGAACACTGTGAACTTTACAAAATATAAGACAATAATCCCCAGACAAAACACATATACTCTATTATACTGTTAAGCAATTTGGGTAATTCACAGGAAAGAAATATCTGATTAATTTATGCATATTAGTCCACTTTCATTGTTAAACACACTACTGCTGGCCAGTTTGTAACACACTACTGCTGGCCAGTTTGTAACACACTACTGCTGGCCAGTTTGTAACACACTTATGCTGGCCAGTTTGTCATTGATTTACAGGACCATTCAAAAGCACAAAACTTATCACTCCCTTGAATTCGCTGGCATGTTTTTTTTGTTTTCAGTCTTCTGCTTGACCAACACTGGCACATGATTAGGTACATTCGGAGACCTGTACATGCCAATACAATATATACTGTACTCATCAACGGTGTGCAGAGAACTGACTGCCAAACCAACTACCAGGTAGTTAGCTGCAAGTGGCAAAGATGGCAAATAAAAAATTGAATAAATTAGTTTCATAATAAGACATACAGTATTTCTATGACCCTAACACCATGTATTATTTGGGGATTAATGTATCATTGATACAAAAGTGTTTATTGCAGTATTTAGTTGGTACCAGTTATTTGCGGAAGACTTACCGTGGAAAAAGCATATAAACTTAAAAGATTTCTCCTTTATTTTTCTGTGTCATTTTCATGTGAAGTAAAATTACGTAAAATTTCAATCTCAATCGGTGTCTGCAATGAATGTGCAGCTCCAAATAGTGAGGTACAGTACAGTACCTGCCACAGCATAATTCTTCCGACTTCACCACCATCACTTACTCTACAACACCAAAGATTACAGTAGAGGCATCCCCCGCGTTGCGGAACCCCGGGTTGCGGAATTTCGCTTTTACGGAATTTGTAAATTATGACCAATAATTTCGCGATACGGCCCGTAAATCCGCCCTTACGGAAATTTGGGTAAATTTTAGCAATTAAAAAAAAATCACTATAAAATTATTTATTTTTTTAATTATTATTTGTTTGGTGTGGATTCCTTGGTGTTTACTACTGCCAAGCATGGCATCGCCACGCAGAGTCACTCCATTGTTTACATCCAGTGTGTTTGCATGTTTCTCGCCCCAGCAGTTGGATTTAACTTTTACAAACATACAGTAAGTACAGTACAGTGCATTACCCTTATTCAAGATGACTGGAAAGAGGCCATCAAGTGGAAGTGACCGCAGTTGTGCAAAAAGAAGCCGCAAAGGCATTACATTGGATATTAAACTTGATGTTTTAAGAAGGTTTGATGCTGGAGAAAAACTTAGCCAGATTGCAAAAACATCAGGTCTTGCTACTTCAACAGTGGGAACAATCTGTGAGTACAGTACAATATTTTTATTTATTCCATCTGTATTTCTCTTCATATTACATGTATATCATAAATTATTTAATGTACTGTATTGTATGTGTTTATAAATGTTTATTTTCATTCTTAAAAGTGCTTGACTTACTTTTTTGGGGCCGAAAAAAAAATCCTTAGGAACGCATCTCCAGTTTTATAATGGAAGTCAATGGGAAAATAGGTTTTGCTTTACGGAATTTCGCGATACGGTCAATTTTCCAGGGACGCAACCCTTCCGTAACGCTGGGGATGCCTGTACAGTACTAAAATCATCATGCTTTTTCCCACTTTTTTTATATAATGACAACCCAAATGAGATGGACTGGCTTTGTCAGACCTTGATATTTTGGACTCCATAAGCGATAAGCCTCTCCTATATGTTTGGAAGAGCAATCCATGGGCAGGTCACCATATGGGTACTGTACTGTACACACCAAAATCCACCAATCAAAAATTTAACCCTAACTTTGGCAAGTGGTCAGGTTTGTTTGCAATCCTATCCTAATAAGTTTCTAGAACAAGGTTCAAACTCTAAATGCTGGACTTTTATACATATCCCTCAAAGGATTTGTAGTGTATTACTCTGTGCAGTCAGCTACTAAAGTCCATTCTCTTCTCCCCCCCTGAACCACGAACTCAGAGATTCAGATTTATGAACCAAAGCAGTAGTCTGATACATTATTATGTTCATAAATGCTTCAGATTCATCAGTCTGAATCCCAGGGTTCATGGTTTGGGTGGAGAGGAGAACTGACTTTAGTAGTTGACTGTACAACAAAAATAACTGAAGTGTATCATGACTAACCTATTGTAATTACAGTATGTATATAGATGTTTCCATTCTTAAGTTTAATATTTTTTGTGTCTTTGTCTTAGTAGAAGAGGACTGAATCATATATATATATATATATATATATATATATATATATATATATATATATATATATATATATATATATATATATATATATATATATATATATATATATATATATATATATATATATATATATTACAGTACCTACCCACTCCCGCCAAAGTACACGTGCTCTGAGTATTTCTCGTGTCCCATATTACAATGTATAGAAAAAGTAAAAATGTGACCTATGAATGTGGAAAAGGTTTTGTCTGTTGTCTCTGTTTTGAGTAAAGGACTTGTCTCACAGAATACAGAAGGGTGGAGCAGCCAAGCATATACAGCACACACCTGTTCTACGGATAGCTGATTCGAGCCAAGGGTACCTAACTTTACAGGGGAAGTGAAGGGATTCAAAGTGCAATTGTGACCACACTGCTTCTTTGTACACTATATCCTTGTTAATTCGACAAAAATGGGGCACCGGGTCACTCGAATTACCGAAAAATGCAAATTAACTGAGTTCGGAATACGGTATTTTGACATTAGTACTGTACTGTATTTGACAATTCCGAATTTTTGTGTTCAATTATTTGTTCATTTTCAGTTGTTTTTGTGCCTTGCCTAGGCTGCCACATAAAATAATCTACTGTATTTATAATGACTGTGCAAACAAATACTTTCTAAATGTGCATACAGTAATAATAAAATAAATAATACAGTAATTAAGCAATGTAACACTGCGAGGTGAGCTGACCATATGAGGGGTGAGGTGACTAGGCAAGAGGTGAGATGATGAGGCAGGAGGTGCAGTGATATGACAAGGCACTTACACAGCACACACATTATCAGCACTACTAAACCATCGTCTTATAAAATTTTAATTTCTGTTTTAAAATTCATTGATACATGATGGCTCGATTTGGCTACTTTTGGCACTTAGACAACTGATCAGTGAATAATCCAGGGCATATGGCAGTGCATTATACACTACAAAAATAAGCTCTGATAAATACGCTATACTGTAATATTATTTACTAAGTGCTGTGGTAAACACCAACCCTCCTGACCAGTGACAACAACAGTGCTTGAGAGATGGTGAGCAACAGTGTTAGGGACCAGTGGCACAATAGCTCATCTGGGGTTTGAGTGTGTGTGTGATTTTTTTTTTTGGTGGGGTGGGGGGAAGTTATTTATTTTTCAATAATGTTTTATTAACCCACTATCAAATGAACCGAAATAATATGGGAATTATGGTGAAATTGCATATTGTCATTATAAAAGGATCGTGGGCTGCTGAGTGGGAGTTGGTGAGTTGTCCTCCCTCCTCTGCTACACACCAGTTTTATACAGTATTGTACTGTATCGTAACAGTTGGGATTGCCTGAAATTTATTTAACGAGCCTGTCACAGGACCACTTTTGAGCCCACAGAATGACCAGAAATCGCGAAGATATTTTTTCCCGGGCGCTATTCATGGCTAATTGTCAAACATGTATTCAAATGATGCCTTCCTATGTAAGAAAAGGGCTGGGAAATCACACACACACAAAAAAAAAGAAAAAAAGAAAAAAAGAAAAAAAGAAAAAAAAAAGTTATTCTGACAAATACAGTAGGCCCTTAACATACGCGGGTTTAACATACACGGGTTTGCAAATAAGTGGATTGCCGCCGGAGGAATATAGATTAAAATCGCGCGCGACACCACATACTGCACACCGCCTTCCACACCACACACACACATATCGCCCGCCACGCCACCCTGCGTTCCCTCAGTCATTCAGTCTCGCTGTAACCACGCTTGTGTTGACATCAGCATTGTAGTTGCTACCCACATTTACCATGGTCCCTAAAAGATCATCAAAGACATCAGCTGGAGCCAACCCTAAGTGTCAGAAGAAAGTGATGACTCTGCAGGAGAAGGTGGAGTTGCTGAATAAGTTACGGTGACGATATGGAGGCGGAAGGATAGAGCGGGGACGAGTGGTGACGCTCTGGAGGCTGGAGCAGGGATGAGTGGAGATGCCAGCCAGTACATTATTAATTGTTTTTATAGCTCTTTTTGCATTTTAATATTAAATAAAGTGTTTGTAAACATGTACATAGTGTTTTTCTTTACTTACCGGTAAATAAGGACACGGGGGGCCAGGGGTGTTTTTATGGGGGGGGGGCACCAAAAATACGCGGATTCTTAACATTCACAGGTATCTCCGTTAACTAACCCCCGCGTATGTTAAGGGCCGACTGTATAAGCAAAAAGTGAGAATTTACTGTCGATTCCTCTTCATGAAACAGTCAATATAAAATGTACATGGCAAGAAAGATTTAATCATGAGGAAGACAATGATAAAATTAGAAAAAAAAACAATGGTAAATGTAATGGAGTTACAGGATAAAGGTAAAAATAGGTGGTGGTTACGTGTGCAGTCACTGAAATGATTATACACATATTTTTTCCTTTCTAATATTTTGTTGAAATCTTTTGAAAGTAGTTTTTATGACATAATTACTGTACACATACTAAGGAAGAGAAATAGACCAGTTAGAAGCTTCTGTGACAAAAACTAAATTTTTGGCAATAAAATTTCCACTTACTCCTCAAACGAGGTAGGCCTTAGGATGTGGACGACAATGGATTTATGAATACGTATCAAATAAGCACAGTATTCATTATAATTCACCATATGCATGCCTCTATTGCACTACATTTTATTATCACTTATTTTTCTAAACTAGGCCTATATATTACAACTTGCTTTTGTCTGGTATTTGCGACTGTACAGTATTGTGAGTAGTCATTTCACCGTCTCGTATATTAAAATATATTTCACTACGGGTATTTCATTATAAATATTTCACTACGCATCACTTTATCACTTCATAAAAATAAATATCCTGGTTGTAAGTGATAAATATATACCTGTATTGAGATAGCGGAAATAAGATCACGGTGGCCATTTTTAAATCACGCCTGGTACCCACCGTTTAGGAAGCCAGATGCACACTGGTGACTGTGGCACAATAACGCCTAGCCTACTGGACCTAGATGGGTTGCCACCTAGCCTTATGACTTGGTTCCGCACAGGAGAGTGGTGTTAAAATTTTAAGTAATTTGGCCAAAACTTTTACAGAAAATGAAAAGAACGCCATACTGGCATGTCTGATCGCGAGGCAAAAGTTTTGTTAACATTAAATCAAAATGCCACTTATGCATCTGTGATCCCAAGTATTAATATAATTTATTTTCTATTCCTAAAATTTATTCGCCTTAATCTACAGTATTTCAAAATCTATTCCTATAATAATAATCGACTTTTCGGAATCGCTCGGTTATTTCAGATTCATTCCAAATTCAAACTGTTTAATTAATTTTTTGGGGAAAAAACATACAAATTCAGCCGAAATCCGAATTAACGAGGGTACAGTGTATACTGAAGGCTTAGTCTACTTTGTGCTGTATTCACATGTCCCTAATGGGTATCAGGCCTATGGAACCGACTTTCACTTTTTTATATACGGGTAAGAGAGATATGGTCTTTCACATATACACAAAAATTTAACGGGTATTGTGGTTATGTTGAGCTAAATTATGATCAGACTGTGCAGGGATAAACTATTTCTCTGAGTGGCCAAAAAACTGTCTTGAAGTTGTGGGAAAAAAATCACACTTGTAGATATAACGGTATCAAGTCCAAGCCAACCTACCATTGTAACCATAACAAATCCTCTCTCAAACAAATACTTCATACACCGTCTGCTACCAAAGTGATGCCAGAAAGCAAGTACAGTATTGTTTGCCTGTACCTATTAAGAAAAAGATGAAAAAGATGAATGTAAAGTACTGTGAGGAACAAGGCCATTGAGTTTACCTGTGTAACTCTTTGTTATTATTAGAATTATAAAAAAAAAATAAAGAACATTAGGGAAATAAGAATGTGGGTTGAGAAAAAATGAAGTGCATGTTCGGATTAAAGTTTTTTGATAAAGAAAATGAGTAAAAAAAAGTTTCTGGAAAAAGGGAAAAATTTATTTGTGACAACTATGGATTTACTATATTAATACATCTGATAGAACAGCTTAACCGAATGTGGGAAATATTGAACACATCTAAAGTAAATGAGAAACTGTTGAATGCTGTTCCAAAGTTTACAGGGGGGGAGAAGCATGTGTACGAGTGTCAGTGAGAGAAAGAAACCGATTCCCAATGAATATAGAACTACAGTATACGTTAAAGTTGTGGAATATCACCAGTGTCACCATCGTTTAGTATTGTGGGTGATATAATAATAGAAAAGTTTAAAATCTTAATGAATGAGTTTAAAAGAGTGAGCATTGGGAGAAAGTTGAATAATATGAAGAAAGAAAAAGTGATGAAAACTATAGAGGGGAGACGAGAGAAAAATAACTGATAGCTCGAACGGACACAGAATGAAAGAAATTAAGTGTTTTGAATGCAGTATCTAAGAGTGGAAAGAAATAATTGGTGGATTGGGGAATGTATGGAGAGTGAATCTGTGTCAAAGGAAGCAAAGCTGGGCATGTACAAGGGAATTGTTGAGTTGACATGAATATAAAGGCATAAAGCTTAGTAGACTCTTGATGTAAGAAAAAGGAGCAAATCAGAAGCAAAAGAAATGATGTACTTACAAGTACAAATATTACAAGGCGTAGACTGCTTGCACAGAATACAAGTACAGAAACAAAGAGATGCAAAAGTGAAAGAAGTGTTGGCCAGAGCATGTATCAAGATCTCCTGAGGTACTAAAGACAGAGACCACATAAAGGGAAAGATTAGTAAAAGGTATATAATTCAAAAGATGGCTGGTAGGAGGGATAGAGGCAGAGCAAGATGATATAATGGGGTGTTAGATGCACTAGGAGTGAAGGGAGGTGGATATTCAGAAAGTAATATGTTTGAATGACCAGAGAGCATGAATAGTTTTTGGAGGTTTATGTGCAACTGACTTGTGATGCCAGGTACTGTAGTGTGGACAAGAGAACATAACAGCAGTAAAGATAAATAACTGGGACCGTACTGTATTATAGAAGGGACTGGCTTTAGAGGGCAAAGAAAAATTATATAAACAGTAACATTTAAATTAGGAATGTTGTGTATCTCCTTGGGATATACATCTTCTTGTTTTGTATTTATGACCAATATAAATAATCGTGTCTTCATACATTACAAAAACTTTAATGAACATCGTCAAATTCAGCCAGCACGTGATCTAAAACACATACTGTATATATTTAGTTATTTGTTCCAGACTTCACAAGTACTGTACAACAATTTTAAATCTCCAAACTGTATTCAGAAATATATTCCCACCCAACAAGCTAAATTTAATCTGTTCTTAACTGGTTAGCTCAATTGACCGGGTAATTTTGCACATCAGGGATTTGAATATAACTCCTAAAAATAGGTTTTAGGGAATGAAAGTCTAGGTTGATAAAAATATTACTACTGTACTGTACATATTACTTACCCTATGAGAGACATCTACCTAATATCCCACATAAAAAAATAACAGTCCTAAGTATATCCTCCATTGAGAAATATCATTATTTCTTGTGTGAATGATGGAACACAATTAGCACAAGAAATCTGGGCCGGCTAAACACTTTTATAAGACTAGAAACACAACTCACACGTGAAATCTGGGTAACTTTCTTTCAAAAGGCCTACGAAAAGTAGCGACCATGAGAGATAAAGAAACAAAAATATAAACCAAACATATCCACATATCTCTAACGTCAAAAAGGAACCCATTTAGAATTAACACGAGTATTGCACATCCCAGTGTCCCAAGTTTTCGGAACTTATTGTATTTCCGTAACATGTGGACCTGCAAAAAAAAAAAAAATAAAACATTAGTGACTACACGAGTCTCATTTTCTGACTAAATCTAAAGAAGATAATTTCCTTTAACATTTTCAATAAGTGGCACAAGCTTTTAATACTAACGATGGAAAGTTTTGTAAAGAAAAAATAATACTGCAGTACTGATTTCACATATACTGTACTGTAGTCTGGTGTAGCCAAATAATGCACCGAGGAATATGAAGAATACTGTACAATCACATTTCCAAAAAGAAACAAAAGTGTTAATATCTAACCTGCATGATCTGAAATACCATCTCTGTCAGGAAGAATATGCCATGCCAGGGTGAGGAGCCATCAAGTTCCTGACACAAATAAACATATCCTGAGTAGTACTTAAAACTAATCAAGAAAAGGTAAAATTCTTCACCTCGTGATTATTACACTTTAAAATATCTAACACATAATTAAGGAAGCATTTTTCTAATCTTACAAGAATTTCCCACTATGATGAAGGGTCACAAAAATCTAAGAGAAATGCAAGTTATCCTCCGTTTATTTCCTGTTTTTCATTCTAACTGTCATAACAAATGTATTCTGCTCAAAGATTACTCTTCCCAAACATGGCCACCAAGTTATCCATCTGAGGTACTCCTTTTACTTCACATGGCCTTGGAGGTACAGCACATTAAAGGAATTACTGTACGTATATACATTGATAGAAATGAAAAATGCCACTATTATCTTAATTCTTGAAATAAGTTCCAATATCCAGTACCTGTATGTTGGTGTCCTTTAAGACCAAATATTACAGTCAAGGTACATAAGAAAGGTAACACCATATTGGCTTGGTGAGAATCTGAGTTGGCAATTTTTTTTTACTTGGCCCCGCCCTGTTGGTCATCTGGCTTCTAGAATACATGAGCATTATTATGAGATTGAGTTTCTGGTCCGAATTTGGACTTAACGGGCACCAATTTACAAATACCAAGAGGGATTATTTATAAACTACAGTATAAAAAATGTAAAGTTCGTTTATGTATTCAGATGTTATTTTAATACAGTACAAGTACAGTACAGTATATGAACAGTGTAACAAATGCACAATTAAAATTAAATGTAATTAATGAAACTGAGCAGCATTTTTTTTTTTCAATTTAGAACTTGAACCATGTCAAACTGTACTGATTGTAGAAATTATCAAAACTCATGCTCTATGTTTTGTCATAAACTACTGTACTGTATATAAATCATTGTTTACACCAAATGCTGCAGCATCTTTACTCAATCACTCCTTTCAGAAACACGTGGATATTTATGTACCGTAATGCCTAGAGCTCAGGTATCTGTACTCATACATGGAAGATATTCACAGAAATGTCAATATGAAGTTTATTTACTTAAATTTTTGCTTTATATAACCAAAACCTTATTGTATTATTGTCCTTCAATCATTGTCTTATCCTCCTAACCACTTGTCAGACTACCAGTTAAATAATATATGTACTGGAAGGAAGCTTAAGTATGAAATATTCCTTAGAAAACCCACTGAAATGGCTTACCTCTAGACTGGACATGCTGATGGCAACCGCTCCTCTGTATATATCAAGGAACACACACGGGGCAGCCAGGACGACGGCCAACCAACCATACCAAGAGATAGGTCTCAGTCTTAAAGTAACACCCACTAGAACAAGATATAATGGATATATGTAATTAAGAGTCAAGATTTAAAATTGGCTTAAGAGTTCATTCCTGGTCTCTCTGTCTTCATATTTAAAGAAAAAAATACAATCATGCTGCCAAAAGTATTAACAATAATAATAATCATAAATCTGTCAAAGACAGTACAGTAAATGTCTCCATTAACTCTTCCACTTTTACATAAATTCTCATAACTCTGTGTGGCCTGTTTGTATTTTCTAGCAGTTTATATGTCCTGTATCTTACTGTACCAATATAATACAGTACAGTAGTTTACTAAATCTTCATAAGTCACTGAGTCAAATTTTTCACACATGTTCTAGCTTCTCACCTCCTCTATCACATTAATAATATATTTCATAAAGGACTGAAGGTGAGTCAACTCACTCATCAGCCACATATGATCCACATCACATATCTAGGGTTGAGCCATGGGAGAGAGAGAGATTGGTATAAGAGATGCAAGTTTGGTGAACAATGAGAGAGAAGAAAGAGAAAAAAAGAAAGAATTGAATTACACTACCATTTGAGATTTCATACTTTTTCCAAACTTATAAACATTTGTCTGATAACCCCAACGTATACAAATTAAGATGAATCCTGAAATTAATAGTTTCCCTAAGTTTTAATTTTGTGATAAAGGCTCCACAGGAGCACTCCATCTTGGTACACTTCCTTCTCCACATCTTTGGAAAGACTTCTTCTCTGTGCATATCTTTTATGAATACCAATGGTACAGTGGTAGAGTGATTGCCTCACAACATAGATTCATCCCATTCTTGGGTTAAATGTGAAAAGAATATTATCCAGTGTCTCTCAATCATCACAGGTTCTCTTCAGGCACTCCAGTTTCTTCCTGTATCTAACAATGAACCCATGGGGATGGCCTTAACTGGACCTCTAGGTACAGTTGATTGGCTTACCCACTATAAATAGAATCATCAATCAATCAATACAGTATCTTCACTCTCGATCTGCAGAATTCACCAAATTTCTACAGTATCACGTCATTCACATCCAACGCACAGAATAAAATAATAATGATAATAACAGGTGGAATAATAACCATAAAATTACAGCATAAATTAATGTACAGTACAGTACTGCACCTATCATTAATAATAACCAACTGTGATAGAATGGTCTTACATACCTGTTGAAACATCCTTGTTGATGATGACACCATTTGCTACAGTACCATTTGATAAACCAAGAGTTTTTGGGGAGTGAGATGCAGTACTGACATTTGATGGCCTCGATGTTACAGACGGAGATGGAGGCGGCTCTAACTGGTGCATCTTAATGTAGGACGGAGGGTGGAGGTTGAGGTCTGTGGTCATTTCTGCTAAGTTTAATCTGGAGGCAAGAGCTCGGGTGCTGTTGTACTTCTGCCTTGTCTTCTGAAGGAAGGTGTCTGGAAAAATGCTCATATTGACATTTTTTTTTAAAATGACTATGTTTTGTTTACATATAGAACACCAAGGAAACACAAATTGGAAACAATATTCTAAAATCAGACATCGTAAGCTCTACATATTTTTATCTACAGTACATTATATAATAAGTTTCTAAAATGCCCATAAGAGGAAACACATGAAGTCGGAAACAACAAACAAACACAAAGTTGGAGACACATGGTAACTGGGATCAAGTGCAGAGAGGTGGGAATGAGTCAGAGGCAGCGCACAGAGCCTTCTTGTGGCAAGCAATCGCACCACTCTACTGCCCGCCAAATTCAAAACAGCTCTGCCGCTCCTACCCCAATCGTGGGATATCCACGGTATCAACAAAACTTGTGGGGTACTTCCCCTATATGTAATCGTCGGTTATTGGGACACCGGTTTTCAGGGTATACCTGTAATAATGACATTACGTGCCATCACAGGGGGTTGAAATACAGTAAGTCCTCACTTAACGTCGTGGTTCCGTTCCTGAAAACCGCGACGTTAACGGAATCAATTTTCCCTGTAAGAAATAGATAAAATACGGGAGTTACGTTCCCCAGCCTTCCTTTGCCCCATAAAATACATTACATATACAGAAATGCAATGGCATTTTTATAGAAAATAGTATACGTATATATAAATAAATTAAATCATTTTGTATTGTACTCAATGATGGACGGAGGTGGTGGAGCTAGTGTGTGGTGGGTAGTGGAGCCTTGCATTTTCATAGCAAGGCAAATGATCTTACATTGCTTCTTCACAACACTAGCATCAGTAGCACTTGATGGATGCTTGGAAGCCATTTCAAATGGTTAGAGTACAGTATAAAGAACAAAAACACTTAAACACTGGGGATGCTTGGGGACACCGTGACGCTTCGTGGGTGAGAGCGTAGCGCACCAAGATGAGAGAGGGTGATGCACCATACAAAGTAGTCTGTGATGACGTTATACTGAATCGGTGGGACGTTATCCGAAGCTTGGGTATCTAAAGAATAGCGACATTATAACGAAACAACGTTATCGGGGGCATTGCTAAACGAGGACTTACTGTACAGAATTAGGTAAGTAAAGTCGCCACACAGATAATTTTAGAAAGACAGATCATTCTTTGAAAGATATATTGCATTTCAAAACATTATACAGTACAGGACATAAACAATACTGTATACTTGATATGACTTACAATGGAATCAATCAAAAATATAAAAATTAATTAATCAAATGCTACTGATGATTTGTCAAGCTGATGCCATAACTTTTACCTGACGAGAATTATCCATACACTATCATTATAATCCTATGCCTGGAATAATGATTATCAGTTACAGGTCTCCCCTGATTTACGATCTCCCTATCTTGGATATTCCATTTTAACGATGGTGATATCTTAAGACCATCTCCCTATTTGTGATGTAACCAGTCAGCATGAACTATGGTAATCGTCCGGCCAAAGTAGAATATGAAATGCATCTCTCAGTGCACTTGTCAGCTGCAGTCTACCCGCAAGTTTAGTTCCCTGGTGATCACATATGATGTGATTGTGTAGCTCAACGATTATCCGTCAATATTGGTGGTGTTGCTTATCAGTTTTTTATTTATTTATTTTTTTACAGTGAGAGAACATCATTAACATTCACAATGTACTCTGTTTTGGTAACTGTGAAGTTATTTTTACTATGTTTCTTTGTGACTGTACAGTGCTTTACTCCTGTTGTTGTGACCATGATGTGAGCAGTGTTGGCTGCAATAACATTATCGTTCACTCTGTTTTTGTGACTGAAGTGAGCTGTGTAGCTTTGAAAATGTCTGGGTAGGCCAAGGCACCCAGGAAAACCATGTCTCTGGAGGTGAAGCTTGACATTGTGAAGCAGCATGAGACTTTGCAGAGGCTTTGTAGGAGTCAGAGTGGTGTCTCCACTCCACCTACAAGAGTCCTCTTAGCCTTGAAGGGGCATGTGATGATGACCAGGCTTGTTCTTTAATGATGTGGTACATGTTGTTTGCGTTGTAGGAATAATATTGGTGTACGATTTTTTTTTTTTTTTCGGTGAAACATGTAGGTGTTCAACTGGCTGGGAAAGTACAGTATCCCATTGAACCACATGTTATAATGATCCTGATTTCTGATACCTGTATTTCGACCTGTGATGGGTTTTTCAGGAACACAACCCCACCATAAATAGGGGGATGCCTGTACATACAAGTGTTCAAGTGCTGTACATTATATAGACTGACAATGCAAATAGTATGATGTGTGAATGATGACTGATTTTGTAAACTGTGTACAGTATACAAGTTGATGACATAAGTAAGTGTGTGATGAATATTTCTACACACACTGTTTTTGCCCTTTCTTACACTTGTTCAGCACCACTCTCTTAGTACAGTATTTCCCTCTTCTCTCCTGAACCTTCTATACCCTCTTGTTCCACCCCTTATAAATAGGATCTGCTATGAGCTCTTGTAAATTACTGTACTGGTCTGGAACAAGATATACAAATTTAAATCTTATTCATGGATGGCTTCTGATGTTTTAACATTTGTGTAATAAAGACAACAGTGAAGTAAATGCAATTATAGACAAAAAATATTTCTTGAGTACCCGTACTGTATATTACAGTATTTTTCTATTTATCTTGTGGCTGTAAGAGATACTTATTTTGTAATTATGGTATTTATAATCTAAACCAAACAAAACTGTGCGACCTCAAGTATATTACACTTTTCTTACCAAATTCAATAAAAGCATAAGGTCTTCTGACTGACTTGACAACGGAGGCAGTGTAGAGAATATTAAACTCCTTCATCAATTCATCGAGGAAGCTGAAGGCAAGGATATGTGGGTAGTTTGGCTCACACACAACCACATAAGCAGTACAGTCATCTGTTACATAACTGTAATTAAAATAGAAACATATAAGTAAGTTCTGCAATCAGTACTGTACATCCATAAGCAATAACACAAAGCAGTTTTGAAGTGTAACAAACTTTTATCTCTCACATTAAGTTCACTCAGTGATAGAAGAAAATTATTGCAAGTCTCAAAAGCTATGAGTTGACAATTATTTCTCTGGAAAAAATACAATAAACAATAAGATGAAAATCAAGAAATCTTTGGGTGTCTGCCAAACAACACCTCTATTACTGCAGTCATCATCATCAACATTTTGCAGCCACTTTCCAAGCTTGCACACGGTAGTCACAATAACCTGTTAGCAGCTCTCCATGCAGCACAGTCTCTTGCAGTCTCTTTACTCTAATGTCATTATACTTACAACTTCTCCCCATGTCTTTCTTGGCCTACCCCTGGATCTCCTCCTCTTCACATTTAGGTACATGCACCTCTTGTCCCAATGTGTCTCATCCATTCCCTCTTTATGCCCAAACCATCTACAGCTGTCCCCTTAGCTCTGAATAGGACCTACCGTCTTTCAGCGTCACATTACATATCCACCTCACCATTCTCTTTTCAGCTTGCTTATGTCTACTTAAGTCATCCTTTTTAACTGCCCATGTTTCATTGCCATAAAACATCACACCAGCCTCATACATCCTTCATTTCACACAGAGGGGAGGTCCTCTTGCCATCAATATCTCATTCACTCTTTCTGCAGCTTTCATAACCTGATCAAGCAACTTCAGATTTTGTCACGCCTCCCACAATCACTCCTTAAATAACATTTACAGTATGTACTGTACAGATACAGGTATAGGATTAAGTATGGATAAATATGAAAATTTTGGTCTTGAAACTAGTAATAGGAAAGAGCCTAAAGTCTGTTTACTCGAAACTCTCAACTGATGCCTAGGGTCAGTTTGTAGCAAGGCAGATGATTGGCTGATGGACGGACACAGGAAAAGTCATTACAGTTTTGTATTTAATATATTGTACTGTTTTGATAATCTGAAATTTTAAGGAGTAATAACTATTCTGTGTTGACCTCTGATAATTTCCACACTTGGGGAACCCAAAATTATCACATATCAACACAGAATAGTTATTACAGTACTCCTTAAAATTTCAGATTATCAAAACAGTACAATACGTACATTAAATACTAAAGAACTGTAATGACTTGTCCCGTATCCATCCCCCAGTCAATCAGCTGCCTTGCTCCAAACTGACATAAGAACATAAGAACATAAGAATGGAGGAAACTGCAGCGGGCCTATTGGCCCATACTGGGCAGTCCCGTTTACACCCAACCCCTATTGCTCATATGAGCATCCAACCTATGTTTGAAGCTATCCAGCGTATTCGAGTTAATGATGATATTTGGTAACTTGTTCCATTCATCCACTACTCTGTTTCCAAACCAGTGTTTACCTATTTCACGCCTAAATCTAAATTTGTCTAATTTAAAACCATTGTTACGAAGTTCGCTCCTGGTTGGATAATTTGAGTACCTTTGTAATGTCCCTTTGTTTAGCCCTGTCTTCCACTTATACACCTCTATCAGGTCGCCCCTCGCTCTACGTCTCTCGAGGGAGTGCAAATTAAGATGCTTTAACCTGTCTCTATACTCAAGGTTCCTAATGCCCGGGATTAGTCTTGTCATTCTCCTCTGAATTCTTTCCAAGGATTCTATATCCATTCTGTAATACGGTGACCAGAACTGAACTGCGTAATCCAGGTGTGGTCTCACAAGAGCAAGATACAGTTTTAGGATGACCTCGCTAGTCTTGTAACTAACACTCCTTTGTATGAACCCAAGTACTTTATTAGCCTTGTTACGAGCAAAAACACATTGTTTACTTGGCTTAAGGTTCCTACTTATCATTACTCCTAAATCTCTGCAGTCGGATTTCTCTATGGCATCGTTGTTCATCTGGTATCTGGTTTCCCTGTTTACATCTCCTATACTGAGTACTTTACATTTGCCGACATTGAATTTCATCTGCCATTTTTCAGACCATTCGAAAAATTTGTTTAGATCTTCCTGTAGTTTTGCCGAGTCGTCAGATTTGATAACACGTCCTATTTTAGTGTCATCAGCAAATTTACTTATGTTGCTGTCTATGCCGATATCTATGTCGTTTATGTATATAATAAACAATAATGGTCCAAGTACTGAGCCTTGGGGAACTCCACTTGTGACGTTGCTCCAATGGGACTTAGTGCCGTTAATGCTCACTCGCTGTTTCCTGTCCTGTAACCACGCCCTAATCCATTTAAGGATGTCACCTTTGATGCCATGAGCTTCTACCTTTCTAATTAGTCTTTCGTGGGGGACTCTGTCGAAGGCTTTGCTAAAGTCGAGATATACCACATCATAATTGTGCCCCTCGTCCACTGATTCGAAAACTGATGAAAAGAATGTTAATAGATTAGTTAGGCAAGAACGTCCGCTTGTGAAGCCATGCTGGGAATCATTGATCAATCGGTGCTTCTCCAGGTGATTTCGAATAGAGTTTGAAATGATTGCTTCCAGTAATTTGCCTACTATTGATGTTAGACTGATTGGGCGGTAGTTAGAGGATAGTGATCTATCCCCCTTCTTGAAAATCGGTATTACATTCGCTATCCTCCAGGATTCTGGTACTACACCTGTTTTTAAGGACATGTTAAACAACTTTGCTAAGGGCATACTAAGCTCTTCCTTACATTCCTTTAATACTCTGGCAAATATCTCATCGGGACCAGGTGACTTATTAGGCTTTAGTTTGTCTATTTGCTTACTAACATCGTTACTAGTCACTACTATCTCACTTAATTTGTTTTCTTCACTATCTCTGAATAGAGTCGGTGCCTCGGGTATCACGTTTAGATTTTCGGTGGTGAAAACTGTTGAAAAATATTTATTCAAATTATTGCTCATTTCTCCGTCGTTATCAGTGAGCTCGCCGGAGTCTGACCGTATTGGTCCAATCTTTTCTCGTGTTTTAGTTTGATACATTTGGTAGAATCCTTTGGGGTTTGTCTTCGCCTCCCTTGCTATCCTTACCTCATTATTATCACTTGCAAGCTTCAAGTGAACAAACTACATTACTGAATAGTAATAGTTGTATCTATCTACCTATGCCCTACAGGCTGGAATAAATGAGGAAGTAAAGGTCAAGTTTTGGGAAGAGTTGCTGCCAGAGTTGTAAAGTAACAAAATAATTTTACTTGAGCACTGTACTCAAGTAACATTTTGGGTATGTATTTACTTTTTAAAAGTACTTAATTTTCACAGTACTTGAGTACTGTATGAATGAGATACTTTTTTACTTCTACTGTACTTAAGTACATTGAACTTTGGATACTTTTACTTCTAGTTGAAGAATATTTTGTCAATGTAACAACACTCATACTTAAGTAACAAAGTCCAGTACTTTTTACAACTCTAGTTGCTGCTTGCAGTATTGGATGTGTTCATACAGTATACCCTGTATATGGTGGAGCTGGTAAGTGATATGTTAGAAACAACTTATCTTAAAGAGAGATAAAGGCCAAAAGTAATCTACAATATATATTTCTAACTTACTGTACAGTTATTTCCTCAGCCTGGAGACAAACACGCTTGCCAAACTTGGACAGCTGTTTCCTTAATAATTTGACACATCTCTTTCCCTCCTGCATACATGGGTCGGCATCACTAGCAAAGTCCGTGGTTGCAGAGAGTGGAGTGCCATCCGCTAACCGTGCTAAACATGCATATACAATCATCTGGCGAGAAAGATACACACACAATACTGTTAATACAGGCTACACTTTATACCATATGTAAGATTTGTCCATAACTTCCCAGCCTAATTATTTCAGGAAATGCATTCAATCGAATTCTAGATAATTCTGAAAGAATTTTTTGATGAAATTGTCAGGTATCCAGTACAGTATCTTGTTAAGTGAAAACACATTAAGTGAAAATAATAATCACATAGGAAAACATGTATGTGTGTCAGTCAGAGCTGTAGCTCCAAGACCATAAAACCTACTGCGAGACCTGAAACTTTGCAAGTATTGTATACAAAGGGGACCCTTGGGGTGTGTACCTAGGGTTACTTTTTAGATTTGTTTAAAAAATATTACCCCACCCCTTTGTGCATGCAATTAGGAAGGATTTCTCTCTCCTCCCTACAAACTACAGTAGAGGACATTTCATCATAGAACATAAATGCTTTCTTACCTCATAAAAAAAAAAAAAAAAAAGTTCTCGAGCAATATGTTTTATGTGATATCACTTTTACGTCTGCAGAAAGGACTCCAACCACAATCTACCTGCCATGTTCGTCATATACAGTATCTTGGCCCTGGTTCTTTTCATTGATTTTTGTTGTTGTTAGAATATTGAGATACAATTCAAAATAAATGCTGATAACCACAAGGAAACAAGAAAACACGAAGTTCCCAAGCACTTTTGTGTAATACGTATCTTCAGGGGTGAGTACAGTCTGTACTCACCCCTGAAGATGTGTATTACACGAAAGCTCTTGGAAACTTCGTGTTTTCTTGTTTCCTTGTGGTTATCAGCATATACAGTAATACCCCGCTTTAAACGGTTTCACTTTCCGCGATTTCGCATTTACGCGGTACCTAGCCAGAACTGGACTTTCACTTTACGCGGTGCATCTACTCATATACGCAGGAAGCGGCGCGGGCAGGATGCGCACAAGGTCGCCACCCACCACAGCCGGCCCAAGTCAGTGATAGTGATAGTGAGGATATGGACTTATATGGACTTTGAGGGGTTTGACAAAGAGGCCCTGCAAGCCTATGTGGTGGATAGTGATACAATTGATACAAGTGATACAGGTGAGGGCCAATAATCTGCCCTCTGCCTCGGAACCAACCCCCCATCCCTGTGTGCCCAGCCATCTTTTCTACTAATGTAAGTGTTAAAAAAACTAATATTATTGATATTTCTCTTAATTATTAATTGTGTGTGCATACCATCATAAAATTAAGATGTAATTTTTACTACAACGTAGGTATTGTGTCTGAAAAAGTGGAGTTTGGGGGTCGGGCCAGTCTCTATTGGAATTAATCCCATATGTTCTGTTGTTCGCTTTACGCGGTTTTCACTTTCAGCGGTACCCCATGGGTTCAATTGACCGCGTAAATCGGTGTACGACTGTACATGGATCACGTGGACCAACAGTGATTTATTTGCAATACAATATAAATGTAGTATTTTAGGTAGGTTTGGTTAGGTTTGGGTTTGCTTGGTTTGGTTAGGTTAGTTTAGGTTATTTAGTTTGGTTCATTTTAAGGACAATGCAGTACAAGTTACGTTCCTGAGGCTTGTTCGTAAATCTTGTAGATATCAAACATACTGTAAAAAAATAAAATAAAGTGTAGTTATACCCCAGTAATAAATACAGCACATTACCCTACAGCATATCTTACAAGCCTTTAGCAGTACTGTACAGTATTTAATGTATAAATAGCTTATTTTAATTTTGTTGGTTTGAACAGTCAATTGGCCATATGGACAGGTTTGTTCATATCTCTGAAAGTTCATACATTAAAAGTTTATTCATTGAGGAGCACCAGTAAATTATTAATGATCCCTCTTGGCAACTGTGAACATTTATGAAGTACTGTACTGTACATACTAGTTACATTTTATAAAAACTGGTTCACAAAATGACTCAAACTAGCCTACCCTAACCTAACCTCTAAACAAACTTAACTGTCCTTAAATACTATCTAACCAGGGCAACACAAGTACTGTATATAATAATAAAAAAAAATTAGGCCCATTGAACCTCCACACTATCACTGAGGGGACAATGTGGCACTGTACAGTATTGGATATCGGTTGGTGCCGCATCTGTTAATTGAAGCCTAAAGAAATTTTAAAATCTATATCACGCAAAACATATTGCTCTCGCAATTTTTTTTTAAATTTCATAAGGTAAGAAATCCTTTACAGGTAAAGATTAATTTTATGCCTGAATGGGAATTCAATTACTAAAATAGTTTCTTCTTATGTTTTTCATTGTGATTTGAAAAAATCTGACCTTTTGTTAATGTCTGTTAGATGTAATTGGGACAGGAAGAGGATACAACAATACTGAAGGATTTTAAGTTCACTAAACACATTTTCACGAAACATTATACAGGTATTTAAATTTCTTTCACGTGAACTTCACATGATCTGCTTGGACCAAAATTTCATCTAGACATATTCAGCAGTGTCATGCTTCCCTTGTGACTTAAACACCGAAAACATGCGAAAACAAGAGTGTCGCCAACGAAAACATGCAAAAACAAATGGAGAATTGCTTTCCATCACCATCGGTTAAATAAATTAAGTTTTTTATAGGATTAGGATTTTCCTAAGTTAAGAAAGGTTAAGTCAGGTATTCAAAGTTTTTTTACCCAACATTTTCCCTCATCTTCAGAGCCCTGCCTGCTTTGTGCAAATCATATTTCATATACTGTACATTAGAAGGTAAAGGTGTAGACAATGGCTACCACCAGATGGAATTGTCCGAATTGGTTTAAATTTTTTATACACTAATATCATGATATTAAACACAAAAATGGAAACGACTACACCGTTATCCATTAGAATCACAATGAAAAACTTAAGAAATAAATATTTTAATAATAGAATTCCCATTCAGGCATAAAACGAATCTTTACCCATTTATATTCTATGGTGAAGTGTCCTACAGTAAGTAGTTAAGGCGTGTAACTCATCTAGACTCTAACCCTATTATCAAGATGAGAAACACCAATTCTTCTTGACCAAGTCCCTAAAACATCTGGTACAGATGACCAAAAACACTACTGTTAATCTTACTTTAAATAACGAGAATCATTTTGTATCTATACCTAATAGCATAAAACACTAGAACAAGAACTTTGCCTGACCTTCACATCCAGATTATAGCACTTGAATCTATGACAACAACATATGACTCACATGTTGTGGGGATTACACACCTTATCATAAAAACCACCACAGAATTCAGTTAATTTGGCCCACTAACACGTGATATATTTTCAGTGTAGACAAAGTTTTGGAGGCTTGGAAGTGAAGGAAACAATACAATAAGGTAGTTGAGCCGCCCACACTATTGCCCTTAGGTCGCTGTCGTGTCAAGTAATCAGCTGGAGTTTGTTTACATCTGCTACGACCTTCATCAACAATCTCTCTTTGTAGATTTTAATTCATTTCCATTATCTTCTTTATTATTATTAATGCCATGCTAAGTACAGGGCATTCAGTAAACCTAAAAATTTTGGAGAATCATGGACGAGCATTAAAATTGACCCCGAGTCCCAACTAAATTCTCAAAAGTCACACAGGGATTCAGCTTAAAAACTCACGGCTCCAATACATTTTTAATGACTCAAACTGTTATATCTATAAGTTACATAGCACGATAAACAATTCAGTAATAAATAGTGATAATAAAACATATATATTAGTTAATTAAAACATAAAGCTTTATTTTCGACGCTCACTCTGAAATGATATACCACACCATGAGAATTTATGATATATATTACTGTACGACGAATGAGAATATTTTTTTATCTTATTCGTCAGGTTAATATAAATGAAAGACCGAGTACAACGATGGCCATAACAAAGTAATAAAGAAACAATGAACTGTATTAACGACCAATAAGGACAGAGTGAAATGATAGATTTAAGTGACAATGCCTAAATGAGTAATCCTCAATAAAATACTTGCCCTTGGTTATTCATGTACTGTATATACACACAGTAGTATTTCCATTTACATAATATGGTAGGTATTGTTTATCTTGGAAGAATTTAATTATATGTTAAAAAATAATGTCAATAATTTTTTAAAGACTTCGCAGAACTGATCAAAATACAAGTTTATTATTGTTTACATCAGCAGGACCTTAAGGTAACGTTAATAGTATTGTAATATATTGGTAAAACTTCGTAATAAGAGTGACTCCCCTTATTATTTTGTTAGTTAAGTACAGTGAAGTGTATTTGGTGATCCGGGATAATATCTACAAGTTTTGTCGTTGAAGTTATACTGTAGTAGTGTATTGTACACTTAAAGCTCTTCGTCCCGGACCCTTGGTCATTTAACTAGACGTGGAAATGGTACAACACATCTGTAATACTAATAATTTGTGACAAATATTCTCAAATAGATATGCTAGGCCTCACCATTTCCTCTAATATGTCATGGATGCCACACATCCACAACATTGCTAAAGCTGCCTCCCGAAAACTGGGAATGCTGTACAGGTGCCGTAGCTACTATACTCACGAGCAGTTGCTTCAAGTTTATAAGGGATTCATTCTTGGAGTACTGCTCTCATATCTGGGGTGGCTCCTCTTCTGTTCAACTGTTAGATAGGGTGGAATCAAAGGCATTTCGTCTTTTTAACTCTCCTCCTTTAGTTGATAATCTTTCTTCCCTTTTTCTCTTCGCCGCAATGTTGCTTCACTCTCTCTCTCTCTTTTACAGTTACTTTAATGGGCAATGTTCGGTGGATTTGGCATCCTGTGTACCGCCGGCAAGGCCGTGGGCTCGTAACACTCGTCTTGCCCTTGATGCCCACCGTTTCTCTGTGGATGTCGTTCACACTAGAATAACCCATTACAGTACATCCTTCTTTCCTCGCACAGCCAAACTTTGGAATGCTCTGCCTTCTCCTGTGTTTCCATATTCATACAATCTGTCTTATTTCAAATCTGTCTCACTTAAAAAAGCTGGTTTTCTGGCATCTTTGTGGTGTAGATTAATGTAATCCTTTTATCTTCTATTTTTAATTTCTTTTTACTCTTATTTTTTTGCCCCCTAGGCCCCGTTGTGGGTTGATGACCTGTGCCTGGGTGGGCTATTCCCCGCAAAAAATGAAAAAAAGTATGCTTGTACTGAATGAAGGTTAATGTTGATACCTGCCTTTGAGATATTTGTTTTGGTGTTTATTTACTTACTCTATTTTCGTCAGTGAGTACTGATATGATAATCATCTCTTGTGCAAATGCTTCGTTTGGTAGATATTTAGGTGTCCTAAGGTACTCGCTACTTTGTCTTCTCGGCGGTAATGTGGTTTTATGTTAAGAGGTTGGGTTAGGTCAGGTTGGGTTTAAAAAAAACTATGAGTGTCCTCTGTAGAATGGTTTTATGTTAAGGTAAGAATGAGGTTAGATTGGGTTGGGTTAAAAAAGAAATTGCACAAACTATGACATTGTCCTCTATAAAACACTGAAATTATGGTGTTTTTATAATTGTTTGCTGTGCTAAAGTGCTGGTGGGTCAATCGTCAATAATTACCTGAATGATTCTTTACTAAGTAAATTCAAATAAAATTAATCAAAGTGTTTGATTTTACACAAGTCACTCATTGTTTGAAAAAAGTTTAAAGAGGGTATGTGGCTGCCTTAGTTCTCAATATGTTTCCAGGACTAAAAACAGTATTTTATCTTTCATATGTTTTGTGTAGTGGCTACAGGTACGGCAGCCTGGGTCCGGACAAAACCCCCTTGGGTTGGGTTCGGTTTGTTCAAGGGGGTTTTGTCCTACGCTCATGGCAGCCATATTAACAGAGTGTGTTAATGGTCAGCTTGGGTTATAGGGTAGGGGAGGTGGTATTGCGGTTTCACTGCAAAGATTGTTGAAAGGGAGTGGGGGTGGTAACTCAAAATTATTCATTGCCGACAGAAATTAAGGTCAAATGAATTAAACCAACTCCCACTGGAAAATCGTAGATTCTGGTAAAAAACCAGCTTGGTATTGAAACTGCAATGTTAGTGTTTCAGTTTGGTAAGGTTAGGTTATGCTAGGTTAAGTTAGTTTAGATTACTCAGAAGGCCATCTTGGTAACTATCATTATATAGTCTACCCACCACGCATGTACATTAGGCTGCCATACTAATAGACTTCGACGTCTCACATATGACTGCTGTACAGGTATACAGGTACTTATATCCTGTGCCCATTTTTGGATGGGATCTGAATGAGAATGATGATTTTGATTCTCCTTTGATGATTGAAAACAAGTTAATGTAATTCTTTAGACAACCAACTCGTGAGAAGAAGCAACTTAAGAAAAAATTTCTATAGAAGAAAGGTGGTGGTTATTTGTCCAATCACGGACCCATATTATTTCCACTATTTGTCTAGGATTCATTCTGATTGATCAAGGCTGATGATGCTGATTCTAGATTACTGAATTCAGTCACTTGCAAACCTAACCTAACTTAACCTAACCATATTTGCAAGTGACTGACTTTAATAATCTAGGTCATCAGCATCAGCCATGATTAATCACAATGAATGCCGGACAAATAGCAGAAGTAAATAAAAGTCTGTATCCAGACAAAGAACAACTTAATAGAAGAAAACCTTCTTACCTTTTAAATACAAGTATAAATAATAACACTTGGAGGAATTGCAGTTTTCCTACTTTTGTTTTTTCTCTTGTTTATGTTAAGAGTAAATAGGGTCCTTGTACACTTGGATGATGACATATTCGGGCTTCTCCTTCTATTGACAACAAGCCAAGTTAAAACCCTAACCAACTTACCTAACCTTAAATAATGCATTTCCAAAGTCACTGATCTAATAATACAAAAATTGCTGTAAATCCTTGTTGGTACAGTACAGAATACAAAAAAACAAATTCTATATTATTTGCTGGTGTTTTGTGTTATATGGACTGGAAATGTATTGATGTTTATATAACATTTGTTTCGTGGCAACATTCACATAACCAAATGAACATGGCGTTTGATGAAGGCACTGCACTGATACAGATGTGTGATCAGGATGAAAAAATCAGAACAAGAAAAGTATGAAAGTTGCAGTTTCTCCATTTTATTTTTTAGGTAAGAGAAGTTTTCTTCAATATAAAATAGTCCTACAGTTGCTCCTTCTGATGGGTCAGTTGTCTAAACTCTAAAGTATGACCAGAAGCCAAACAATTACTAAACTGTGTCTGGATTTTGCAACAGTTCCTTCAAATATTACAGTTCAGCGAAGATTTGTCATCATTCATTGGAACAGCATAACAGTGTAGGTAGCTAGTGTCCAAATACTGTAGATGTATACTGTAAAGAATCACATATGGTTTTGTATTCTATTACAGTATATGTTACAGGGTACTTGATACATTTCTTCCATATTAAGTATGCGGTACAGTGTTGTACTATGAAACTGAAAGGGACTGTGACCACTGTTAACATCTTTGTACAGTACAGTAGTTACTGGTACATCTCCACTGTAGACAAATTATTGTTTACAGTAGAGCTTAGCAAGTTCAATTAATTAATTTCTCGGGAGAATAAAGGCTTGATACACTACATACACAGTATCTAGTATGTATATTAAGGAAAGGGCACAATAATTCAACTACCGGTACATTTTTAGCACCTGTACTTTGAGCATTATTTTGCAAAGTAAAGCAATGTAAATGTTTTATTTAATTGTAAGGGTAGGCCAGGGTCACACAAGGGACAGCTATTGTCTAGTGCATCATGAGAATTAAAAACTTTTAAGAAGCTTGGAATATCGTAGAGGATACATTCCATCATAAAATTTACTATTTCCCAGGTTTCTAAAATGGCCCACTATTTATGGGCTCTGGATGCCATTGACGATATTGATAGAGTACGTATCCCACGTAGGATTGTGGTCGACAGAAGGGATTACTTTCAGTCAATGAACGATGAGGAATTTCTGAAAAATTTCCACTTATCCAAATGGAGTGTACAAGAAGTGTTGAGAGAGATTCACCTGCCTCTTTCCAATGACAGAAGAGGTAAGGTGTGGGTATGGAGGTCATCAATTTGCTAATACGGTACAGTATAAATATTGATCAATAGAAAAACTAATGTCATGGGTAAAAAAAAAAAAAAAAAAAAAACATTAACTGTATACAGTAATCAATAATAAAAATATTCTCACTAAAAGTATAGCTACTAGACCTTTATACAAGATTTGTGTTGCATGTACAGATATACTGTATTCTACTGTACTGTATTCTTTTGTACTGTACTGTATTGTTCTGTACTGTACTGTACTGTATCTGTATCTGTAATTATTTTCTACTCTTAATAATGTACAGTAATTTTAATGTTACTATTTTAAGAATTGTTTTAGTGTTAATTTTGAAGTAGCAGTGTGCAGGCTGTTGTGTTAAGCTTGATATCATAGTTGAATGAGGGAGTGTTGTATGTGATAATGGAGTGAGCTCAGATGACTGTACTGTACTGTACTGTACTGGTGTGTACAGTACTGTACTGTACAGCATATTGACATTGTTTATGACCACATGCATGAAATGCTAGTGTATTATATATATGGCTGGTTAGAGGTAATAAGATAAAATATTAAATATAAAAGCAATTACTGTACCGTATTTTATGAATTACTGTAATTTTTATTTTTACAGGCTGTCCGGTGCCACCTGTTATGCAAACACTGATCACACTTCATTGGCTAGCCACTAAAAATTTACAGAGTTCAGTTGCAAAAATGTTTGATGTTTCACAATCATTTGTTAGTTCATGTATATCCACAACATTACAAGCAATTGCTAATTTGCTTGAGTTGTACATATACTTCCCTGGAAAAGAAGATCTTCCAGTCATCAGCGAAGAGTTTTCCTCCATAGCAAACTTTCCGGGTGTTATGGGTGCCATCAACTGCACATACATCCCCTTAATGAAACCTAGTGGCCTTCAACTAAAGAAGTTCTGGTGCATGAAAGGATTTTATGCTTACTGTGTTCAAGCCATTTGTGGTCCAAACCTCAAATTCTTTGACTTGGTACCATATTGTCCTGGTGGTTTTGGAAAAAACAGAATATTTTATAACAGCAATATTTGCAAGCACCTGGAGGAGAATAGATGTAAATATCCTGGGCATTTGTTAGGCAACTCAGATTATCCTAATCTTCCATACCTCCTAACTCCTCTCCCAAATGCATGCAACCACAGCGAGTTAAAGTATAATCAGTCTCATGCAGAAACAAAACGCTGCATTCAGAAAGCATTTGTGATGTGGAAGAGAAGGTTCAGACGGCTGACTGTCCCCTTTAAAACCAACCTTGACACTGTTGTAAAATCTATCTGTGTTACTGCTGTTCTGCATAACATTGCCATACAGCACCAAGATCCACTTCCTGCAAGTGATGATATTCATGAAGAGGAGGAGAATGGTAATGTAGAAGATGTAAATGAAAAAGCCAGACTCATATTAGAGGGAAGGTTGAAGAGGTCTGATATAATTCAGCACACCTTTTAATGATGAGTTTTGTTTTTAGTTTGAAATTGACAGTCATCACCAGTTTGCAGCAAGGTTTTATCTGCCTGTTTCTTATTAATTGTAGTTATCATTGAGGAAGATGTCCAGCTTCAACCACAGTGTGCAGCAGATATTCTGCAGTCATCTCAGGTCAAAACAGTGATTACTGTATAGGGATTGTGAATATGACTGTCATTGGGTAGTTGAATTAACAAATGTACCTACAGTATTTCTGTATCATATATATATATATATATATATATATATATATATATATATATATATATATATATATATATATATATATATATATATATATATATATATATATATATATATAGTCACTTCATTTTTCATAATTTCATTAAATCATATGCTGTATTATTTAGTAAATTTATATTTATTTGTCCTTACATCAATCACATACAAAATTAATGATCTGCTTTAACGAGAAAGTTTTTTGGAGAGCTAGAACATGGGGGAGGTAAGAGGGAATATTTGTAAGCAGAGGCACACTCAGGCAGGGGTCACAGGCTCCACCCCTCCTTTTTGTTCAGCTACCTTCTTGGCTTACATAAACCTTCTTAAGTGAAGAGGTAGAAAAATGCTGGACAGGTTGTACCATTTTAACAAATTTCTGGATATGCCTCATTTAGTAAGGACCAGGTAAGATGAGTGGTAGAGAAGGCAGTCATAAGACAAGTTGATGGCCAGAGCTGGAGAGTGTTGGAGAAGACTTGAGCTCATCATATGGTGAGGTAACTAAGAGGGTGATGAAAGGTTGATGTAGAATGGAATGAAAGAGTAAGAAAATCTTCAGACTTTTAATGAAAGAAATAACAGCATTGATGAACATATGAGGGTGAGTGTGGGGGGTCAGTCGAAGAACAAGGTGGGGGTCATTAGGAGAACAAGGTGGGGTGAGTGTGGGGGAGAACAAGGTGGGGTGAGGTGGGGGGAGAACAAGGTGGGGTGAGTGTGGGGTCAGTAGGAGAACAAGGTGTGGAGTGGGGGGTCAGTAGGAGAACAAGGTGGGGGGTGAGTGGGGGTAGGAGAACAAGGTGGGGTGAGTGGGGGGTCAGTAGGAGAACAAGGTGGGGGTGAGTGTGGGGGTCAGTAGGAGAACAAGGTGGGTGAGTGTGGGGTCAGTAGAACAAGAAGGTGGGGGTGTGGGGTCAGTAGAATAAGGTGGGGTGAGTGTGGGGGTCAGTAGAACAAGGTGGGGTGAGTGAGGGGGTCAGTAGAACAAGAAGGTGGGGTGAGTGTGGGGGTCAGTCTGAGGGCACCACATGACCTTCGTCTCCCCTGCCTTCGTCCCCACACTTCTCAAGTGACGTCATCAGCTAACGTCACCAGCTTTTCTCAGCATAAATTACTATTTTTCTTATTTCTTTCCATTAATTACCTACGCATGTTGAAATGGGGATACACTAAGTGCTCACACATACAGTAAGATGGTATTAACGATTTCCATTGTTTGCTTGGTCAAAATGCACGACTCGACTAACATTGCTTTAAATATGAAAACGACACATTTAAAGTTGGCAGTACTGTATTGGTGTACTAAGAGTATTTGACGTTTTTAGGTTTAGTTCCAACTTTCCGCTAACAAAGGATTGTAAATAGCACCAATAAGCCAGTCCGTCAGAGTCAGTCCGCCATTTAGGCATTTATGGGTAGAGGTGAGAGATGTTATGTCTACTGGTGCACAGTAAGTCTGCCAGGGGAAGCAGCAAACCAGACCATCGATGACCTCAATGGTGAGACAGCAGCAAGTAGGTCTCCCGGCACCGATAACTTGTTCCAGTGTTTATGGAACCAACACTATTTTTTTTTCATTATTTTCAGAAACAACAACACAGGTCCACTTACGTACATACACAACTATCAGTGTAGGAACAGGTAAGGTACAAACACAGAACAGCGATAGGTGTAATTACAGGTACATATTTAAATACAGAAAGGTTGTACTGTATAAGAATAGTTAGTTACATACACAGGAAGGCATACATGGACAAGTACAGGTGTTGTTTTACTACAAATAAATATATATAAATAAAATATGTACAAGCACCATAGATGAATAGTGTACACCACACCTCGCTGGTCATGAGCCGACTCTATTTGAGGAGTTTGTTGTAATGCTCACCTTCGTCCCTGTGGAACCAGTCGTCTATCTTGACATATTTTCACCTTGACTTAAATTAATTTTGAATATTGGCGGTATCCAAGACACCTAACCTACTTAATCTCCCCCGACTGTGGCTCGTGTAAGAAAGACTCCCATTGTTCTTGAAAATCTTGTTCAAGTTCGTGAGTCAATATTAAAGTGAATATAGCCGATGGTAAGGTAAAATAGGATATCATATTAAAAACAAAATCCCTGTTGATGTGAGTCAGTGATCCGCGGCGACAAAGGAGGCGGATGTTGCCTAGGTGTCACAATAGTACAATAATTTGCACTCCTCCCCCCTCCCTCCCCCACTTCATACGAGACGACAGAACTAGCTTTGTATATATGACTTGGTTAAAAATATTTATCCTTGTCTAGCTTTGTATAATTATGATATATAGATGTACATATTCCACTTAATTTTTATGTCCAAAATTCAGGAATTTATATATATTTTGGTTGGCTTAGGTGAATAATAAGTGGGGAGTGCATAGTATTAAATACTTCAACGATCAATTAGTGAGCTGCTGCTGCTATTATGAAGTCTTATATTTTGCTAAGCAAGCCAGTCAGTCACTAGGTTTGTGTTAGTAATCAGTTAGTAATCAACTAGTTACTGCTACTGTGACGTCATCTATCCCCATACAGAGCTAGCCAATCATTCGGGTGTTGGTATAGTGCAGGGGGAAGGGGGAGAGGTGTAGGTGGTGAGGGAGGAAAGGAAGGGACATAAATAAAATAAAATAAAAAAGAGGGTGGAGTGGGGGTGAGGAGAAGGAAAGAGGCACAGCAGCGAGAGAAGGTAAGGAGGGCGGGAGGGAGGGAATGAAGGGAGTGTAAGGTGACCTGAGGGAGGGAGGGAAGGAGTGGGCGGTGAAGGTTACTGTCTCAATAACCCCCACCCCCCTCCCCACAGCACGGCTCTGGGCAAGATTCACAAAGGTTTCTACCATGAAATATTCCTAACCTAACCTACCATGAAATATTCCTAACCTACCATGAAATATTCCTTACCTAACGTACCATGAAATATTCCTAACCTAACCTACCATGAAATATTCCTTACCTAACGTACCATGAAATATTCCTTACCTAACGTACCATGAAATATTCCTAACCTAACCTAACCTACCATGAAATATTCCTAACCTAACCTACCATGAAATATTCCTAACCTAACCTACCATGAAATATTCCTAACCTAACCTACCATGAATTATTCCTAACCTAACCTACCATGAAATATTCCTAACCTAACCTACCATGAAATATTCCTAACCTAACCTACCATGAAATATTCCTAACCTAACCTACCATGAAATATTCCTAACCTAACCTAACCTACCATGAAATATTCCTAACCTAACCTACCATGAATTATTCCTAACCTAACCTACCATGAAATATTCCTAACCTAACCTACCATGAATTATTCCTAACCTACCATGAATTATTCCTAACCTAACCTACCATGAAATATTCCTAACCTAACGTACCATGAAATATTCCTAACCTAACCTACCATGAATTATTCCTTGAAATTGATGATGCAAGAAAGTAACTGGTTGACTTAAGATAATTAAGATAAAACAAAAATAAAGGACCACATAAAGATTAGCCACCCCAGCTTGTTCTACCTGATGATTATACACCTTAACCTAACCTAACCCTTCCTGGTAGCATTTGGGCGTTTAATTTCATCAGCTGAAATAAACTGGGGGTGTCTAATCTTCACGTGATCCAAAATCGAATCCCAATTGCATTAAAACTCTAACCTTGACTAGATACGTTCATTTAATACCTCACTACTGCTGTTAAATGTAAGTAGCTGTAGTTTTGATTGTCTCAGCAAGATTTTATATATTTTCTGTTTTAGCTTACTTTTACTTTACTTGTTTTAAGTTACTTTACTTGTTTAAACTTACTTTACTTATTTTTACTTAAATCTTCAGTCACGAGAAGTTCATCATACGAACCTCGGTCAATCTGGATTTTCTAAAGTTAATATTAAAATGTTTCTCATAAATGGGTGATGCAAGAACGTATATAACTGGTGATGCAAGAACGTATATAACTGGTAATGCAAGAACGTATATAACTGGTGATGTGAGAACGTATCTAACTGGTAATGCAAGAACGTATATAACTGGTGATGCAAGAACGTATATAACTGGTAATGCAAGAACGTATATAACTGGTGATGAGAACGTATCTAACTGGTGATGTGAAAACGTATATAACTGGTGATGCAAGAACGTATATAGCTGGTGATGTGAGAACGTATATAACTGGTGATGCAAGAACGTATATAACTGGTGATGCAAGAACGTATATAACTGGCGATGCAAGAACGTATACATACTGGTGATGCAAGAATGTATATAACTGGTGATGCAAAAACGTATATAACTGGTGATGTGAGAACGTATCTAACTGATGTGAGAACGTATCTAACTGATGTGAGAACGTATATAACTGGTGATGTGAGAACGTATCTAACTGGTGATGTGAGACGTATATCTAACTGGTGACGTGAGAACGCATCTAACTGGTGATGTGAGAACGTATCCAACTGGTGATGTGAGAACGTATCTAACTGGTGATGCAAGAACGTATCTAACTGGTGATGCAAGAACGTATCTAACTGGTGATGTCAGAACGTATCTAACTGGTGATGTGAGAATTCATCTAAATGGCTATGTGAGAACGTATCTAACTGGTGATGTGGGAACGTATCTAACTGGTGATGTGAGAACGTATCTAACTTGTGATTTGAAACGTATCTAACTGGTGATGTGAGACGTATCTAACTGGTGATGTGAGAACGTATCTAACTGGTGATGTGGGAACGTATCTAACTGGTGATGTGGGAACGTCTCTAACTTTAACGACTCGTGTGAACGTGTGTCGTGCTGTGCTCTTTGTTCTGACCACTGAGAGAGAGAGAGAGAGAGAGCACACAATGTTCCACGCGTCTAGTTAAAACTTGAGTCATACCCCCGAGAAGAGATGCACCAAGGGAATGAGTGAGATGGGTGGTGGGGTGGGTGGGTGAACG